AGGCCAAATGCGTTGGCGAGCTTGGATGCGGAGGGGACACGTCGGTAGGAGGGGGCACGGAGCTTGTTGGCGGCTTTCTCGTCGGTGGAGTGTGTCGTGTAGGAATGAGCGTGCGTCTGGCGAAGGGAGTCTGGTTGTGCGGCGTCCCTGGAGGATGTGCGGGACCACCAGCGGTTTTGCTGCTGCTGGGGCTGCCAGGGCTGGGACATAATACAGGACGAGGAGGAGGTAGTTACAGCGCTGGCCGCGAGCAGAGTAAACGCCCCGGCGCAGCGTACGGTGGTCGGCCAGAGGAAAACGGGATTAGCCCATAGCCTGCCTGCGCGCGATCACCTTCCCGAAGCTGGGGCACAACGCCAGCTCCGGCTGCTCGGACCCGGCCTCTTTACCCGCGTTGCGCGAACTACGGTGCCCTCAGGGCTCTGATAGCCGCGCCGTATCACGTACTACTTTACGCATTCCCGCCTGAGCAATTTTTCTAGCGACGTTGAAGCGACACGGATCCAAGGCGGCCAGCTTGAGCCAAGTGCGTGAGTACCGGTGAGGCAGCTGGGGCCCGCACGCGTCGGCTTCCTCCCATGCAAGGCGCCCACTGCTCATCTCATCTCGGCGACGTGATGGATCGTTGATCAGACGGCGACAGCGCGGTGCCCTTGCTCATCCCCGACGTCGGCCCCGTCCCGTCCAGCGACGATATCTGAGCCAATCTGGCCTCAAACGTGCATAAACGGATTCTCCCGCGACGCTGGCGAGCGCGCGGCCCCGTGACCCCGGTAGGTAGGTAGGTAGGTCCCGGGAGTTTTCCGCCCGAGCCGTCCCTCGAATCCGCGCCGCGACTTCTGCCGTTCCTGTCCTGCTTCTGCCGCCTCCTCCTGGTCAGGTCCCAGCTAGTATCACGTCCTCACCGACTCGGTTCGAATGCCGCCCTTGACGGCCCTTTGCACCCATTCAAACCCGCCCCGACTGACCCGCCCCGCCCATCACGAGTCAGGTCGTGGACGACACCGACACGCTACTGTACAATGGCGGCAATCATGATATTGAAGGGCGGCGCCAGAGGGCAATCAGATTGATAAGAGCGGGTCCTGTCCGACCCCGTCCCGTGTCCAATCACCATATGCGACGTCTGCAGAGAATCTCAGGACCAGCTTCGTGCAAACAGCACAATGGAGTTCCTGATATCATCATTGTTCGTTCTATCCCGACAAACGTGGATTCGTTCCCTATGGGAAGCAATCGAACACCCTTCCAATTATCATGCCAAAACGACGCGCGCGCCATTCACTCCGATCAGCTGCTGCCTGATGAGACGCGTTCGGGGCGAGGAACTGAACGACCCACTTTGGTGCTCAATTAACCTCAGGCAGTCCACCACTTATCCCAGTTCGGCCCACACGTCTTCGGTGTCCCGATCTTTCACCGCCTGCGCCGCCCGGGGCATGTCCGTCAGCGACCGCCCCTGCGAACTTCGCTCCTGTTCCTCCTGTTCGTTCGCTTCGAACAATAGCGACCGGCCCAGCTCGGCGTTGTCGATCGCTATGTCGTCGTCCTCGAGGTCGATATCGAGGTTGCGATTCCTGAGATCAATCGGCTTCGGCCTCGAGAAGATGGAGTGTCCGGATCTGACGGGAGCGTCGTGAGTCGTCCCATTGACACGCGGGAATCAGGAAGGACGGGACCTACTGCCGCATGACGGAGACGAGGCGGCCGAACTGAAGCACGTTTCGAACCGTGAGGAGAAGCGTGTCCAGAATCTCTTCTTCCTTGCTCGTAGCGCCACAGCCAGCGAATACAATGACGAGTAACGTCAGTGCGCAGAATGCCGTAACCACCAAGTCGAAGACGTTGAACGGCGATTTCCAGAATTGCTGTGTGAATGCGTTTGTCAACTTCCTGCGTCGCGGGGCCATGGCAACAAACTCACTCGCCCGAACGCGACAAACCGGATGCCGACTTCGCATATCATGGCCGTATTGATGATGAATTCCAATATATAGAACGCCAATCCAGGGCATCCGTCAACGAGGCTCAGGACCACCGTCGTCGTCGAGAGTGCAGCCATGCCAATGTAAAGCAATATGTACGTCCTAGAATGAACGAAGCGGTTCGCAATCCCCCTGGTAATCTCGCTCCGGGTCATGGCGTAGATGGATCGCGTAGGCGCAGCCTGAGCAGGGACAGCGTCCCCGTGTGTGTCGCCATTCAGCAGGCCATAGTGTGCAGAGTCGTCTTCGGATTCGGCCATGACTGCATCAGACTGCAGCGGCCTTTTGGTCCTTTGGCGGCTCAGAGGCAACGACGTCGTGGATTGCAAGTTGTTCACCGCGCGACCCGGTCGTGCCCACTGCCGCGCAGCGCTATGTCTAGCCACTGCATCGCCACATCCAGCCAAACACGGACAAATCTAGCCAAGCGCCCCGCCTCAGTCATGCCAGGCGCTTCCTCCCTTCGTTCATCCCTCTCGCGCCCTCACCCGGCGATATCCCTCCCCTTTGTAACCGTCGACCCCGTTACACTTGATAAAGATGGGTGGAGGCGATCTCAACATGAAGAAGTCGTGGCACCCGCTCCTGCTGAAGAACCAGGAGCGGGTATGGCTTGAGGAGAAGAAGGCGGTCAGTAGCCGGATTCACCTGCTGTATATGTCCACATGATTGACGAGAAACCATCTATCAGCTGGAGGAAAAGAAGAAGCTCGACCAGTTGCGTAAGGAGAAGGAGGAAGAGCGTCAACTGCAGGAGCTTCAGCGGCTTCAAGAGGAAAAGACGGGGAGAAAACGAACGGAGAAGCTAGAATGGATGTATGCTACGCCGGCTACGGGGAGTAGTACCAACGCGAACGACCTGGAGGACTATCTTCTTGGCAAAAAGCGGGTAGACAAGATCTTGATCGGGAGCGACAACGAGAAGGTATATCCAGCTGGTCAGCAGGCTGGTCTACCGTGCTGACATGCTCTCAATTCAGATTGGTGCTGCGCATAAAAGCTTCATCGCGACTCAGTACGCAAACACCGTTCGCGACACCGCCTCCAAGATCCGCGAGGACCCGTTGCTGGCCATCAAGCAACAAGAGCAGGCGGCATATGAACAGCTCATGTCAAACCCCCTTCGGCTCCGCGAGATGCAGGAGCGTAACGGCATCAAAGTCAAGAAGGAGAAGAAGGAGAAGAAGGAGAAGAAACACAAGAAGGACAAACGTCGGGACAGAAGCGAGCGCGATAGGCAACGTTCCGTTTCGCGTTCCCGCTCTAGGGATCGATACGATGACCGGGAGTCGCATTCGCGCTTCCGCCAAACACACAGTCCATACGAGCGCCGTCGTTCGCCGTCTCCTTACTCCCGGTCACCCGTGCGTCGGCGCGATTCGCCCCGTCGACGAAGTCGGAGCCAGGAACGCGACCGCATACATACCTATCCAAAGTCCTCCGATTCCTCAGACGATAACCGTGGTCGGCATCGCAGTCCCACCTTTGAACGCAGCAGAAGAACCTCTGACGCTGCCAACGAGCGCAAGCGCCGCAGAACTCCTGATATTCGTGGCTACGACCGCGACTCGCCCTACACTAAACGCCCCCGGGCATCTCCACCGCCGCCTCAGAACGGGACTGCGGCTCCATCTGCAGACGACCGTGCCGCGAAGCTCGCCGCGATGTCTGTGAACGCTGACTCGATGAACGCCGAACGCAAACAAAGGCTAACGGAGTTGCTAGAGAAAGAGAAAGCTGAGCTCGAAGCAGAGGAACGCGCACGCACGAAGAGTAAGGGGATGGCTGGATTTCTCAGCCATGAGCAGAAAAAGGTATTCAGTGGCGAGGGAGGGCTGGAGGAGCGGATCAGACGTGGCCGCAGCGGTCTGGTGCGTGAAGGAGAGTAAGAAGATCGTAGTAAAGACGACTGTATATTCATTTCGATGTCTATTGTTTACGGACATTTGGTTCTACGTTGTGTAAGCTATGAAGCCCTCTCTGTATATTAGGTTTCTAGGTCGGCTGCCCAATAAGAAGTCGGAAAGCTTGAGACTTGGTACCGGATAGCAGTTTCCCACCGAAAGCACGACAAGCAAGCGAGTATACTGCGCGATACGGGCGTTAGCAATCAGCGACACACAAAGCAAGCTCAATGAAAGACTAACATGTACAATGCGAGACAGAGATGGGCATGGAGTGGAAAGCACGGAGTGAGGCCGGGTCGGACACGCCAGAGAAGGTGCTTGAAGAAAGACGGGGTCAAAAATTGGCGATAGGCCGTGAAACGAGAACCTGTCGAAACCAATGAAGAGGCGCGGGATCCGCGCAACAGTAAAAGGGAGAATCAACGCGACGTATGCGCGGGCACAGTGCTCGACTTCTTCTCCGACTTCGGGTGCGCCGCGAGAGAGTACTAGATAGAAATCAGAATGCTTTGACTGGAGGGAGGCAGGATAATATACAATGGCGAAGTTTGTCAATTTGGCCCGCTTGGTGCGAGTCGCGTCGCCACCGTCGTGGGCGCCGTTGACATTCGGAACGACTGATAGATCGTCGATGGCGACCTCTTCCTTCTCATCTTCCTCGAAGACTTCCTCAGGTATGACAACCTGGGAATGGTCGGGTGTCAGATGCCAGTAGCATGCCATGATAAAGCTTGGACACCGCACGTTGTTGAACATCGGCCTCCTAGGGGGCGAGGACCTGTAGTCGACTGACATCTGCGGTCACGATGATTGGGTGACGTCGCACATGGCCGCGATGCTGCATCATACCATGGGGTCGAATGCAGGACGTCGACTCCGGGGGCCGCGCCTGTGGGTGGGTTGCAGAGTCTTGGGGGGTATCGTAGCCGGGGGCACCGGTATAGGCTGCGAGCGAGGATATTCCCCCGTGGATATAACCAGCGAGAACGACGGCAAGTTCTTGTAATTATTGCGAATAGGCATTGGCAGAGACATGAGGGAACCTGAAGAGATAGAAAGCGACCGGAAGAGAGAGAAGTGTGGAGGAGGGAGGAAAGGGCAGCCAGCAGAAATCCGTCTAACCATCCCCGATAAGTAGGCGACGAAAGGCGAACTCTCGCGTTGCAGGGTCGGGTCGGGCATGGCGTCACGCTGTGGGCGAAGGGAACCTAGCACCGGAGATGGCCAGACACCGAAGTTATCCCTTGTTCATCGCGAGTACGGCGCGACGTCAGCTTGAGAGCTTGTTTTGGGAAGAGCCTGTTCTGCGCCGCGATCAGATCTCCCGCGGCAGACTGGAAATGCAGAAGAGCACCGTCGCGTAGCGCACGGATGGCCGCTCGCTATCGATTGGTGCGCCGCCGCGTCGCCATGCCAGGCCTGAGCAGTCAGTGTTAGTACGCACTCTACTAGTTCGTCATAATCAACCTGGTCCCGGCGCGAACCTAAAAGCGCTTCTCCCGTCGCGTGTTCGCTAGCCGACCGTCCGGTGCACTGTCGCATTACGCAGTGAGCCCGATATACGCGTCCGAGAGTGGGCGCGGCTAAGGGTCGCTGACGGCGCAGGCTTGCGATAGGCTACTTGAAGCTTTTACTGCGAAGCATGTGGACGCGTCGTCACAGAAGTCTCCGGCTTCTCGTCCAGCACCGGGCTCCGTGGGCTCTCAGCAGCCTCTTTCCCTGCAATGAGCTGAGGTTTCCCGTCGATTGTGACGCCACCTGATACAACATCAGCATCGAATCTACTACCCCTAAACGGTCTTTGTCCACAGACCGAAATGTACGACTGATGAGCAGCTCCCACAGGCCCGAACGCACATTCCGCACTTAAGCAGGTCCAGAGGAGCATCGATTCCCATGACCACTGCGTATTTGGGTACACCTTCGCGAGCTGGAGACTGTACGCGTGATCGCAGGCAGGGTGCGAGACATCTTTACTGCTGTCAGTCAGTACTAGTACTAGTATGACGCCGCAGATATCCATGTCGATGGGGGCCGCGAGCACTCCAGATTACTCCAAGTGCAGCCGGATCTTGTTGCTACAGGCGCGGGAAGCTGGGAAAGCAAGTACGTGATTGAGCGCTGACCAGCCGCGTTCGATTGCCTTGTCGGGTATGTATTGGTGTTCTCTGCGCGTATCTCATCCCTATCAGCAGCAAATGCAGACGACCCAGGGCAAGCGGGGGTATGAGGACGGTCCACCGCGACTGGACTCTGGAGATCAGATCAGTGATCAGTTAAACGCGAGTGTCGGTGCTATGGCACGTTCGAGCGCGTCAGATGACCGCACTGTAAGTGACGAAAGTCCTATATTTAGTAGCAGCCCCGCCCGCGCGCCGGTGACGATGGTGTTGAATCGTGCTATAAAGTAGAACGCAAAGTCTGTGTGCGCCTGCAGACAAGACTCGCCTTAGCCGGCCTCTTCACCGTACAAATGGCTCTATCCAAGGTCAGCCTCTAAGCCCCTTCGATCTCGCGGCAATCTCTGATCACGGACAATCCACAGCACATCAACCCCGAGCGTCTGTTGCAAGCGTCGCAGGTTAGCATCATCATCGGCACATGCGTCACCATCTTGACCTACGGACATAACAGGACAAGAGATCCAAGGGACATTCTCACTACCTCACGCAGACCGATCCGTCCATCTCGTTCCATGGATATGGAGTACATCCTTTCACCAGCTACAGCGAGGTCAGGCAGCTGATGTCACTGTTCAGTCCAGGTACGGCGCTGAGCCAGTGCCCAAGTTCCGCATTCCTACAAAGGTGCTTGTGGCTATTTCAGCCAGTATAACGACGGGGTGATAACGACCCGATCATAGGGATCCGACGCGGATGCGGCGTATCAGATCATACACGACGAATTGAGTCTCGATGGAACACCGCTACTCAATCTCGCCTCGTTTGTTCATACCTGGATGCCTCCCCAGGCAGATAAGCTGATGCAAGAGAACATCTCCAAAAATCTCATCGACCAGGACGAGTATCCGATGACGCGTAAGTATTCAATTCTTCATCGTCGTTGTTGTTGGACGATGACGGATACGCTTGGAATGATTTATCAGAGCTTATCCACACGCGTTGCATCAGCATGTTGGCCGACCTTTGGCATGCTCAGCACGCTCAGCAAGCCATTGGTACTGCTACTACTGGCTCTTCCGAAGCCATTCAACTCGGAGGTTTGGCAATGAAACGCATTTGGCAGGCTAAGCGCAAGGCTGCGGGAAAAAGCATACACGAACCTGGCCCTAACATTGTGATGTGCGATGATAATGACACTCATTTGTGTTTGTATGCTAATTTTTTTGCGTAGGGGAGCCAACGCGCAGGTAGCATTGGAGAAGTTTGCGAGATACTTCGAAGTGGAATGCCGTCTCGTTCCGACTTCGGTGGAAAGCAACTACTGTCTCGATCCTAAGAAGGCGATGGAGTACGTTGACGAGAACACTATCGGTGTTTACGTCATTTTGGGAAGTACGTAGCTCCTGCGGAATCGGTATTCGTTCCTCCTCAGCCCTATTTCAGGTACTTACACTGGGCACTACGAACCGGTTCAGGAGATGAGTGACTTACTGGACGAGTACGAGGCCAAGACCGGCCACTCCGTAAGCCTTATTATATCAAGTACTCAACTCCGTGCTCATAAATTTTATCAAGGTACCAATTCATGGTACGTTCTATTATGGAAAGCCAGTTTAACGTGTCGTTTGACGGGTAGCATAGTCGATGGTGCCAGCGGCGGCTTCATTGCTCCATTCGCCACGGTGAACAAGACTTCGTTACTTCCGAGATCGTCATTGACCCCACATACAGCCAAAGCTCAAATGGGACTTCCAGATCCCCCGTGTCGTTTCTATCAACACCTCGTGAGTGTATCACGTGCAGCTCTTCTCCTCCTTTCTCATAAAGAGCTTGTAGGGGACACAAATTCGGTAAACCTCTCGTCGTGGCAGAAGGTAACATGGCTGAATGTTGCCGCGTGCAGGTCTCTGCTATGCTGGTGTGGGATGGGTGATCTGGAGGGACAAGGCGCATCTCCCAAAAGTCCGCACCTGATTGTTTATCTGTCCCTTGAGATGGGAACTCTGACGTGTATAACTCCAGGATCTCATCTTCGAGCTACACTATCTCGGCTCGGTGGAGTATTCGTTCTCTTTGAATTTTTCACGACCTGCGCACCCCATCATCGCGCAATACTTCAACCTGTTGCACCTCGGTTTTGACGTGAGTAAAACTTCAATTGCCGGGAACGGATCCTCATCATATATGCCAGGGCTACCGCAGAGTTGCATTGCAAGACTTGAAGAATGCCCGCCTTCTTTCGCGCGCTCTCGAGGCCAGCGGATATTATATGGTGCTCTCTGACATTCACCGCCCAACGGGCACTGCAGGCAGCAGTCTCGTTCAGAGTGCGGCCAACAGAATGGGCCTGAAAGAGGACGATGTTGAGGTACTAACGATGCCGTCGCAACTCTGAACTCTTCCCGTGATCTGATGAAACGGTTTCAGAGCTACTGCCCAGGACTGCCGGTCGTTTCGTTCCGATTCACCGACGAGTTCAAGGCCAAATACCCTGACATACAACAAAAGTGGATGCAAACCCTCCTTCGTGCCAAAGGATGGTGTGTTACTACATCTATCTTCGAGGTTCATCAATTTGCAATACTTACGTGGCTTCAGGATTGTCCCGAACTATGAACTGGCCCCGAACCTCGAGCAAATCGAGATCCTTCGTGTCGTAGTCCGAGAAAACATGACCGAGGAGCTCATTGATAGACTCGTCACCGATATCGTATGCATGGTTTCTCGCGGAAGGGTGATGGATTTCTGATATTCTTCTTGCCAGATTGAAATCACTGAGGGGTTGACCAAGACGGACAATTCCTTGCACCAGCTCGTGGCCCTTCACGCGTCTGGTTCTGCTGCCCGTCGTCCGGTGGAGAAGCTCGAGGAAGGGTCTGGTAGTAAGAGCAACGGAACATACGCAAAGCCGTGCTAAAAGGCTCGCGCCGCCATCGCGTCAAATACCATTAAGCGGTTAATATCGCAGTGTATACTATAAAAGCGGTCGAGACTCGGCTTATGGACAGTTCAATGTATACGTACCCGTTCATCTGGTATTCAGTGAAACGATTTGCTGCCGTCAACGATTGTCCAAGTTTAGAGCGAGCACCTGTGCCGAGTGACGTCAACCTGTCGCGCAAAACACATCTCAACCTGGTGCCCACGCAAAACGAATCGCAAATTGTTCAAGCTCGCTCTTGTACCGCGACCTTGTCGATCGTATTGGACAGGGACCTCCTTCCCCTCGCTATGGTACAGAAAGTGGTATTGTGTGGAGCAGGGTTTCTTGGTATAACATAGACCCTCCCTCGCACGCAATTAGCTGACTAACATCACTTGAACTAGGGTCGCGCATTGCAGAAACAATCATCAGCTCCTCTGCTTCAAGAGCTGTTCAGTTAGCGTCGCGCCATCCCAGTGCATCCCACGAGAAGCTTGGACCAAATCAGCACACCGATCGCCTCCTAGCGCCGGTTGTGGTGGATATCACAAAGCCTGACACGCTCGTTTCCGCCATGAAGGACGCCAGTGTTGTTGTGTCACTCGTCGGAATTATGCATGGCACGGAACAAGACTACGAGCGGATTCAATGGAGGGGTGCTGAGAACGTGGCCAAAGCTACTCGACAGGTGGGAGCGAAGTTGATACACATCTCGGCTATCGGTGCGGATCCGGAGAGTAACATCCCATACGCAAGGACGAAAGCCCTCGGAGAGCAAGCCGTGCTCGAAGCATGTCCTGATGCGACTATTATTCGCCCTTCCTTGGTGTTTGGACCAGGAGATAGCTTTTACCAGGTAAGGGGGTAGGGATGCACTCTGACGAGTATTGACACTTTGCAAGAGGTTCGCTAGGTTATCTGCATTCCTGCCTTTCCTACCGGTCTTCGGCGGAGGTACCTCCAGATTCCAGCCAGTATATTCCGGGGACATTGCACGAGCGGTGGAGATTATCGCACGGAAAAATCCCGCGACAGAGAGCAAGGTGGCAGGCAAGATCATAGAAGCAGGAGGTCCTGAAGGTTGGTTTCCAGCACGCGCGTTCCACGAAGCCCGTTTTCTGAAACTGTCGACAGTTTTCACATACAAAGAAATAATGCAGCAGGTGCTTGACTACAGCGGACGCAGGAGATCGATAGTTTCTCTGCCATTTGGTATCGGCATAATTCAAGGCGCTATACTGGAGAGGCTTCCCGTGAACTTGTTCACTGTGACGAGGGACCAGGTGAGTTGCACGTTGCATGTAGTACGGGCCGATGTGATACTGAGGATTTCCAGATAAAACAGTTGAAGTTCGACAATGTCACCACGAACGATACACTATTCAATGAGATTCTAGAGACGGAAGGCTTTAGGCTGAGTTCTGTCCATGAGGTACTGCCGACATACATATAGTACCTTTAATCCAGAGAGAGTCAGCGGAAAGGACATCCTTAGCTGTACTTAGTTGACACTTGAAGCTTGAAGAGTAAGTGAGCCTCGTCGGAGTGGATGGAAGGCGGAGCATTCAAACCAGATCGGACTGAACAGCGTGCCTATTTCATAGGCCTCCTTCACGTGACCAAAACGCCCTCGACGGTGTTGTCGGCAGCGGGAACAGAGCTCAGTCAGCCACTGCTCTCCTGTCTGCCGCGACTACGGTCTTTGTTGACACAATCGGCCTGGCATTGTTGGTCGCAGTGCCGCTGATCAGCTCCTCCTGCTTGCGGTCTTCCGTCTCATTTGTCGCGCTATAGTCTTTTGTTATGAGTCAAGGTGAATACAGCGCGTCCACGATTTGCAACGGTCTACAACCGCTATGCCTTAGACTTCCAGGGTGCCTATTCGCAAGAGGGCATTGCCTACGACGATCCGAACTATGCGTATGACGAGGATGCGGACGAAGAGGAGATCACGCAGGAGGATTGCTGGACGGTCATCTCGTCTTTCTTTGACCAGAAGGGTCTCGTCCGGCAGCAACTCGACTCCTTCGATGAATTCGTACAGAATACCATGCAGGAGCTCGTCGACGAGAATTCCGACTTGATCCTCGACCAAGCTGATCAGCATACGGGCTCTGCAACGGACATGACGCGTCGCTACGAGATCAAGTTTGGGCAGATTTACCTGTCTCGGCCGACTGTGACGGAGGCGGATGGCTCGGTCATGCCTGTGTTTCCTCAAGAAGCTCGCCTGCGCAACTTAACGTACAACGCCCCGCTGTATATTGAGATGAGGAAGAGAACTCTCATTGGGCGGGAGGATCCAGAAGGCGCGCCTGGAGATGTAATATGGCAAGAGGAGCCCGGTGATGCAGCGGAGGATTCTAGGAAAGTGTGGATAGGAAAGGTGAGTAGAGCCTTTCTTCTTTGCCTAATTCAAGGTTATGATATCGTTCAAGGTCCCTATCATGTTACGGTCAACGTTCTGTATCCTTCACGACATCCCAGAAAACGACCTTTTCGATTTGAACGAATGCCCATACGATTCCGGCGGATATTTCATCATCAACGGCTCCGAAAAGGTCCTCATTGCGCAAGAGCGTATGGCCACGAACCATGTCTATGTTTTCGCTAAGGCCCAACCATCACCAATAAGCTTCCTAGCGGAGATTCGTAGCGCTGTGGAAAAGGGTGGGAAGACTATTAGTCAATTCCAGGTCAAAATGTATACTCGGAACCAGGAGCGATCAGTACGTTGAATCCTGCTTTCCCCCGAATTCATGATGTTCACGTGTTTATTTAGCTTGGTAACCTCATCAAAGCAACTATACCCTATATCAAGGTCGACATCCCGATTTGGGTCGTCTTCCGAGCTTTGGGTGTCATATCCGATCGCGACATTCTGGAACATATCTGCTACGACATGCAAGATGCTCAAATGCTCGAAATGCTCAAGCCGTGTATCCAGGATGGCTTTGCAATCCAGGATCGGGAGGTGCGTGAATCACTGTGTCATTTCTTGTTCAGTCAATCATACTCTTGTCGCAGATTGCCTTGGATTTCATAGGCAATCGTGGCACTACCACCGGCTTGTCTAAGGAACGCCGATTACGGTATGCGCAGGAGATACTGCAAAAGGAAATGTTGCCACACGTTTCCATGGCGGAGGGGTCTGAGTCGAAAAAGGCGTACTTCTTCGGCTATATGATTCACAGACTATTACTGGCGGCCCTTGAGCGCCGTGAGCTGGACGATCGAGACCACTTCGGAAAGAAGCGGTTGGACCTCGCCGGGCCGCTGCTTGCCAACCTATTCCGGATGCTTTTCAGGAAACTGACAAAGGACGTGTACCGGTACCTGCAGAAGGTAGCCATTTTGATAACGGTCCGAGACATTCCACTAACAGCTGTTACAGTGCATAGAGACCGGGAAACAATTCAATCTTAGTCTTGCGGTCAAGCATAACACCATCACGAATGGTCTCAAATACTCGCTAGCGACAGGCAACTGGGGTGATCAGAAGAAATCTATGTCGTCCAAAGCTGGTGTATCACAGGTATTGAACCGCTACACATACGCTTCTACCTTATCCCATCTTCGTCGCTGCAACACACCGCTCGGCCGAGAAGGGAAAATCGCCAAGCCTCGTCAGCTCCACAACACTCATTGGGGTATGGTTTGCCCTGCAGAAACTCCTGAGGGTCAGGCTTGCGGTCTCGTCAAGAACCTGTCGCTGATGGCTACAATTTCCGTCGGTTCGATCTCTGCACCCGTTATCGAGTTCTTGGAAGAGTGGGGCTTGGAGTCGCTGGAGGAGAATGCGCATTCTTCCACGCCATGCACGAAGGTCTTCGTCAACGGTGTCTGGATGGGGGTTCATCGCGATCCCTTGAATCTTGTGAAGACTATCAAGAAACTCCGTCGAAAGGACGACATCAGCCCCGAAACGTCTGTTGTCAGGGATATTCGTGAAAGGGAACTGCGGATTTCGACAGACGCTGGACGTGTATGCAGACCGCTGTTTATCGTCGAGAACCAGCAGCTGGTCCTCAAGAAATCACACATCGAGAAATTGCACAAGCACAATACCGAACCTGTGCTTGACGATGCGGGGGCGCCAACTTTTGATGAGAATGGCAAGCAGCGCTTCTTCCAATATCAGTTCGATGAGCTCGTCAAGGAAGGCGTCATCGAATACTTGGATGCGGAAGAAGAGGAGACTGTGATGATCTGCATGACTCCGGAGGACCTCGAGAATGCAAGGTTGAAGCAGCAGGGTCATGATCCATCGCAGGATGATCCAGACTTCGATCCGGCTGCGAGGATCAAGACCGGGACGCAAGCGCATCTTTGGACTCACTGCGAGATCCATCCAAGTATGATCCTTGGCATATGCGCTAGCATTATTCCCTTCCCAGATCATAATCAGGTGAGAGCTGTGTGTACGGCGGCGCAGGCATGCCATTGACTCGCGCTACTACAGTCACCTCGTAATACCTATCAATCGGCCATGGGCAAGCAAGCCATGGGGATTTATCTGACGAACTTCCTCGTTCGCATGGACACAATGGCGAACATTCTCTACTATCCTCAAAAACCGCTAGCGACCACCCGGTCTATGGAGTACCTCAAGTTCCGAGAGCTGCCTGCCGGCCAAAACGCGATCGTTGCCATCATGTGTTACAGTGGATACAACCAGGAAGATTCCGTCATCATGAATCAGAGTTCCATCGATCGAGGCCTATTCCGCAGCATGTACTTCCGCAGTTACATGGACATGGAGAAGAAGAGCGGCATCCAACAGCTGGAGGAATTCGAGAAGCCAACCCGAGACACCACGCTTCGCATGAAGCACGGTACTTATGACAAGCTGGAGGACGACGGCCTGATTGCTCCTGGAACAAATGTTAACGGAGAAGATATCATCATCGGCAAGACAGCGCCGATACCTCCGGACAGCGAAGAACTCGGCCAGCGGACACGAGGCCACACACGGAGAGACGTTTCTACTCCATTAAAGAGCACCGAACAGGGGACCGTTGATCAAGTGCTTATTACAACAAACTCCGAGGGTCAAAAGTTCGTCAAGGTTCGCATACGTTCGACTCGTATTCCCCAGATCGGCGACAAGTTCGCGTCCCGCCACGGTCAAAAGGGTACCATCGGTATTACATACCGCCAGGAGGACATGCCGTTCACTGCGGAGGGAATCACACCCGACATCATCATCAACCCCCATGCCATCCCCTCACGTATGACAATCGGACACTTAGTCGAGTGTCTGTTGTCCAAGGTCGCGACCCTTATTGGGAATGAAGGCGACGCTACTCCCTTTACCGACTTGACAGTGGAATCTGTGTCGCAGTTTTTGCGGCAGCGTGGCTACCAGTCCCGTGGGCTGGAGGTGATGTATCACGGGCACACGGGCCGAAAGTTACAGGCTCAGATTTATCTTGGGCCAACCTACTATCAACGACTAAAACACATGGTGGACGACAAGATCCACTCGCGCGCTCGTGGTCCCGTGCAGATTCTCACGCGGCAACCGGTAGAGGGCAGAAGTCGCGATGGCGGTCTCCGATTCGGGGAGATGGAACGGGACTGCATGATTTCCCATGGCATCGCTGCATTCTTGAAGGAACGTCTATTTGAAGCCAGTGATGCGTATCGTTTGCATGTGTGCGACATCTGTGGCCTCACAGCTATCGCAAATCTCGTGCGTACTTTCCTGATATCTCGATATTTGTCTGACACTGCATGCTGGTCTTTCAGAAAAAGCAGACGTTTGAATGTCGAGCATGCAAGAACAAGACAGAATGCTCGCAACTCTATATTCCGTACGCAGCGAAGCTACTCTTCCAGGAGCTGCAGAGTATGAACATTGCTGCGCGTTTATACACCACGTCGACCGGGCGTATTCGAGATGTCCGAGATTAGCCACCTCCCTTGTCATAATTATGCTATCCTGCCCGCTGTCCATGTATACTACAATTCAATCATTAACTGTTTTGTATCACGAAATGCCAGTCTACAGAGAACAATCGTTGTCGCTAATCTTGGTGCATCAGACCTTCCCGCTCATGATCAGCACCCTCGTTGCTATGCCTCTCAGGAGGATCCTGTCGATGCTGTTTTCTGAGAGACCCTTCATCGTCGCTCTGCACGTCTTCATCGCCAATCTCAAATACTACGTGATCCTCAGTTATGGACTCGGCTCCTCTTCGGCCAACCAGAGTAGCCTCGTCGTCGTCCGGTTCACCGGGATGTCCTGGGCCGGCGTATCGTCGTTCCATAGACTCGAGATCGTAGTCTTCGGCGTCGGCTTCATCTTGAGCAAGCTCGTCGGACATCGCTAGCGTAAAATTCGGTGATAAATACTGGGCTCGCTTGAGCAGAATCCGAGAGCGACTTATCTTCGATTATTCTCGGACGGTCGCCACAGGTACGCAATCCCCCAGAATGCCACGAGATACAAAAGAGATAGCCAACCGTCGAGAAGCCACCAGCGCACTTTCCAGGTTCGTGCAGCATAGTCTAGTTCCGAGATACATCAGTTCCAATGGCAGACTGAAGCAGGATATGAATTCTACCTTCAGCAAGCCGATCGGAGAAGGAGAACGATGATACGACAAAAAAGACGGCGATGACGACCACGACCATCCACAGGATGTAGTATAGGCGCTTGAACATCGCCAATTTGTATCGTTGTTTTCGTTTTTGTAGGTATACCACGGTTGCTACCGCGCGCTGCTGTCAAGGGCGAATCGGTTATATACACAATGGGAGGAGACTCACAATTAAGAGAATACAGTATCCATAGCATGAATCCGCTGAGAGTGAAACTATCTATCACGTCAGTTGCAGCCTGATCATGCTTCCGAGAATCACTCACGCTAAAGGAATGACAAATAGTAGCAATACAAGTGCAGAAGTCGATTCTAATTCAAGTTCGACGACACCGACAGCATAGAGAACCCCAAACACGAAGTGTGCCTATAGCGCCCACTCAGTAAGCAACAGATCAATCACAATGATGGTTGAAGGACGCACCGCGGCCAGTATCTGACACTTTAGCATCGTACGTCCAAGAGATTCGCGGACAACGCTCAAACCCAAAGAAACTACTAGGAGCATGAAGAATGACAAGGCATTGCGACCAGCATCCAAGATAGCGACTGCAGATATTCATGATCAGTTTGTATACCTAACCGCTCACTGGCAAGATGCGACTCGCCGACGAATAGAAAAACAGTTCCTGTTGTCCCTCTGCCATGCTTGTTGAGATAACGATAGTACGCTGATCGTAGGTCAGTTAGGCAACAATGAACGCGTCTTACGGGAACGAACCCCAGTTGGCCACCATCTCGATAACCAGGAATCCCACCAAACTGGAAAGATAGTACTAAGAACGCATTGCGTGATGAGCTACACCGAGAGAAATGGAGAAGCTCAAAGGCACCTGAAGTGGCAGAAGATCTTCCTTGTGCTTGTAGCAGAGCCATGCCCAAATTGCTCCTAGGGCTGCGTAGACGACGAACAGCGCGAAGTAAAACTAGGAGAGAATGTGCGTTAGGAACACCTATGCATTCGCCGTTGGCCCTTACGTTGACTTTGGGATAGTCTGTCGCAGGGAGTTTCCCATCGAAAGCGTTCCGAAACAAGACCGTGCCTCTGTAGCTAGGATGGAAGGGTACATCTGTGTCGGTTTGACGCTTCTCGGACAGAACGGTCACAGGAACGACCACTGCGAGTGTATCAGCAAGGCTGGAATGGACGGTTCAATTTGATCGAAGCAATACGTTACTAACCAACGCAGTAGTACCCTGTCTTGCGAACCAAGTACTGTATGGGCTGACGATACCGTAGAATACCGCCTGGACTGGGATTAAGAGCACGGGGGGTGATATCGCCTCTCCTCCAAGGCGAAGTATAGTTATCCGAAGGAATATCTGGATTGCCAGCAGGGTTGTCCCAGAAGCCGCTAGAAGAACCGACGGCCCCTGAACCGCCAGCTAAGGTGGTGCTATTTCCGAAAGCGACTCTTGCAGACCAGAAGCTGGTCTCGTTAATCGTCTTTCCGGCAGGAATATCGAGGATGAAGCGCCCAAGGTCATCACTGTTACAGAAGCCACCCCGCACAGCGTCAGATGTGCAAACATATGTCTTCTGCTATGCCCGTAGTAAGCAAGTTATCGATTTTTACACGTCTTGTAGGACTCACGGGTAGGGTATCGTCAATCTCCGATGTGACCTTGCCAAGGTACTCGACATCTGACCACTCATATATCACCATGGCCAGTTGTCCCTGAGAACCACTCGTGAAGCTGACTTGATGGTCCATGAGGATAGAGAATGACTCATAGACGTGAATTCGCACCGTTTATGAAGGTTTTGTCATTACTCCACATCCCAGAACATGTCTGTCGCGAGTAATCTGCGTCCGAAATGTCGACTTCGTAGCCGAAGGCTTGGATCACAAGCCAGGCCAGCAAAGCCAGCCATACGAAGGCGGCCATGGCAGGGCCCCAGTGCGTGCAGTCGGGCGAGCTGAATGGTCTCTAGAAGTCTCAGACCTAGTCTCGATAGGTTCCCTGGATAATGAGTGATATCGTAGCCGCGAGCAAGTTGTCGTGTCGTGCGCACGGAACAGCGAACGCAGCGCCAGATCATCTGCGTCACGCGTCGCTGCGGTGCCTCAGCGCCTCAGCCCTTGAATCGCGCGTCTTGGCCCCGCACACCTGCAACAACCTCACATCATGCTCGGCGAGGACGAGGACGTATTTGACAGTGTGACTTGGGAGAATGAACAGGTCGCAGCTGCTCCTCATTACGATCCTTCTAGCGGCGCTGGACCGTCAGGACCAGGGTTCAGACAGAGCACCTCCGATAGTGACGAGGGTCGCGGACCACACGACCCCAAGTGGGAGGGATATCTGGTCACCAGCGTCAAGGACCCCGTCAAGGAGCTTGCGGAAACGAAGGATGCGTATGTGTCGTATCTCGTCACTGCTCAAGTACGCATATCCCTTTCCGACACGAAGACCATGTCCTGACGTTATCTGCAATGCTAGACTAACTTGCCAATCTTCTCCACACCAAACCCGTCGTCTCGGAGGCGCTATAAAGACTTCGTCTTTCTACGGGAGCATTTGGTGAAGGATTTCCCGGCGTGTGTCGTTCCACCATTACCAGACAAGCATCGGATGGGTAAGTACAGAGAACACGTCCCTACCCCTTTTACTCACTATAGCCCCAGAATATATCACGGGAGATCGTTTTAGCCCCGAGTTTATGGAACGACGCCGCCTCGAGTCAGCTTTCACTTATTCAAACGGTCTCGCCTCTCGCTCATTGACGTGCTAGCTTGCACCGGTTTTTGCAGCGATTGGCACGACATCCGACTTTACAACGGAGTTCTCTCCTTCGAGCGTTCTTTGAGTCTACAGAATGGGTGCGTGATATCCGCTCACAGTAGTGCAGTGTATTTGAAGTTTCCTCGCTGTTTATAGACAGTGATCATGCATCAACATGTAGCACATCCTCCCGGGCCAGAAGCACCGTCTGGTCTCATTGACAACATATCGGACACCCTTCTGAACGCGTTTTCGCGCGTTCGCAAGCCAGACGAGCGATTTCTTGCCATGCGTGAGAATGTCGACAAGTTCGAAGACGGATTGCAGCTGTCCGAACGACTCTGGACTCGCGTACGCAGTCGGACAAACGGTGAGTTGAGTTGGTTCCACCACATCACGTTCGTTCCGTCTGAGGGCTGAAACGAGATGGGGATCCGGAATCTGGTGAAGACCTGACGGCAGACTACCATGACTTGGCTGTCGCGGTCCAGGGCCTGGGCTTTCTCGAATCCGGGATCACGGATCCCCTCAACCACTTCTCGAACACTCTGCTCGAGTTTTCTGCTCTGCTGCGTCATCTGGTAAGTCAGTCCAGGTTGCGAGTACCTGAACTCATCCAATGATGTTCCAGACGCAGTCTACAACCGATCCATCCCTCGTGCACCTGCATTCATTGCTGACATACTCACATGCCAATCGAGCTGTTCTCAAACTCCGTGATCAGAAACAGCTGGACTTTGAGGAACTCTCGGAATACCTATCCAACGTCACCGCAGAGCGTGACAGACTATCCGCCATTATACGGGGGCATGTGGGAAGTGGTGGTCTCGGCTTCGGTGCCTACTTGCGGGACAAGGTCGACGCCATCAGGGGTGCCGATGACGACCGCAGCCGGGTAGAGAAAATGCGCAAGCTGGATCAGAAGATCAAGGAGGTGACGAATAACCTCTCACAATGAGAAAGGTGGTTAATTAAGATACATAGCTTCAAGATGCCGTGACTACCGCCCACGAAACCTCAGACGCATTCAGCGATGAGACCTTGCGCGAGCAGGCGGTATTTCAGCGGGCGAAAGAAGCCGAAATGAAGGAAATGCTCGGTAACCTCGCAGAAGGACAGATCGAGTTTTACAAAGCTGTCAGTATTCCTCCTGGTTCTTTGCATTCCGCGCTAACACGTGTGATCCACAGTCCATGGAAGAATGGGAGCGTATAATACCTTTGCTTCAGCGGATACGTGTTGATTTGTGAGATAAGGCCGGACACAGGTTCATTATTTCATTTCTCTTGGTGATGTAGGATACTATAATGGGTGTCTATATCAGACGACCTTGGCGTTTGCAACGTTCCCCTGGTCATCCATCCGTGTGTCTCGGCCGAGAGGTTGTTCCTTATGCTCAGGGTCAGACTCCTCTGGCACCTGCGCCTGCACCTGCATTTGCTCATGCAGCTGCTCTTGCGCCGCATCCTGCTCTTGCACCTGTTCCTGCTCCTGCACGTGCTCCTGCGCCTGCGCCTGCGCCTGCGCCTGCGCTTGCTCTTGCTGTGCCATGTCCTCTTTTTCTGTCCTCGCTTTTTCTGTCCTCGCTTTTTCTGTCCTCGCTTTTTCTGTCCTCTCTTTTTCTGTCCCCTCTTTCCCTTCGCCTACAGGGAGATACTCCGGCTCTGGTTGCATCCTGCGCAGTTTCTCGCCGGACTCCTGGACTACTAGAGACAACTTTGCAAAGTCAATTTGTGCATGGCACGCAGAATCGCTGTCAAGTCGTCACCGGCAAGATGGTAAATCTTGACACATACATTAACTATTCCAGTATCGACCGCTCGAACCAAGTGGACTTCTGAGAGCTCCGGTGAAGCAGCTGTCGTATGCTCAATATTCGCAGGTATCCATGGCGGTGGGTCATTCTGGAGGAGAGATTGAGTACATCCGGATCCGTCGTCAAGGCGGGTAGAACGCACCTTCTCTTCGGATGCACCCGGCACCTTGCCCTCCTTGCATTCTAGAATAATCGCGAACGACGTATTGTCTGATAGATGCCGTGGCATGCGCCTTAGCTTCAAATCGGTATCGAGCAAAGACTGACTGACCACCAAGCTCGAGCTGGCCCAACTGAGCTTCTATCATACTCAATTTGATCAGGAACGATCGAAAGTATTGTCCCAAAGTAGTCGGAGACATTGCACTCTCGACACTACGAAGCTCATCAGTGATTCGCAGCAGGAACGATTGAACAACGTTCTACCCGACATCGGTGTTGTAACCCTCGATATTCAAGATTTTCTCGATGCTGAAGATAAAACGCTCGAGTGCAACCTCGTCTTTATCTTTAATTACCAAGATAACCTTGTCAATGGTTCCCTGAAACGGCTGTCAGATTTTTCTTGCGGTATTTCACGGGAGCGACCAAATGCAATGTAACCTCGGCTGACCGATATAATCTCATCTCCCACCGCTCTCATGGCACCGGAGATGTATTCGTTCAGAACAGGGTGACGAGATTGATATACAGGAGTATCGTATTTCTTCCGACGGACGAACAGGTCCGCTGGGTAAACTTGCCGAACATACAAGATTGTATGAATCGCAACCTCGACTATACAGTCGGAACTCATGAGCTTATTCCAACCGGATATATGCAGCGAGGACGTACTGAATTCAATGATTCCGATGATGGTCTCTGTTAGCGAACATCTCAGTGGCCATGTGGTACAATCGAACTTTGGAATCGCAAACTCGCGGTAATATGTTAGTGGGTCATCAGGCATCTTCGCAACGCCGTTGTGAGACAAGCATAAGGATGGCTCGCCCCAAAGCGCCTCAACATCAGAATTACCGAGCTTGACGAGGTCTTGCATTTCTCACGTCTTCAATTGGCTGAAAACTACTTAACTGGATACTTTACGTAATAAAGTGTGATTACAATGACCCATCAATGTCTGTATACATTGCCCTTCAGTACCGGTCCCCAACGCATCGTCAAAGCGAGGTATCGCGCCGACACGGCGCCCTTCTGCTCTATAACCCAGGGTATGTGCGGCGGAAAGTGATCATTGTCAATGCGTACAGCCTCGTGTATGATGTGATCCTCATTCGGGCCGCCTCGAGTCACGGCGTCCGACGCTCACCGGCATTGTGGATTTACTATCTTATTATCTGGCGCGGATTTGGCATCTATACTCCTTTTCGTAGCTAAAGCAGTCTGCTGTCCGGCGCCCCACACCATAGATAAAGATCAGAACTACTTGAGGTGCTACTTTATTTGTCCTGTAATATTGCAGAGATAAACGAGTGTGATTACCAGCGAATGCATGCTGCACTTTAGAATTCAATCTCTAAATGTGTCCATACACGCAGCCAACACTCGATCCATCTTCTGCTGTGCACTACGAGCGTATCCACCCTGTCGGCGGAAAGTAGAAGTTAGTCAAGCGCTGGTTTGAGCCTGTGTTAGATCTATACGCACTCCGAAGAGAACTGTGTGGTTCAAGTAATGGAACATTTCGTAAAGGTCCATGCGGACCTCGTACTGGTCTGCCGGGTCAGTCTTAGGGCGGTGCTCATGATAGGCGCTGAAGAAACTTCGAGGCAAGCCACCGAACATGCGAGCAATGGCGAGGCTGGCCAACAAGGGACGTTAGGTCAGGACAGCAAATAGAATGCACGTTGTGATCACTGACTCTGCCTCGTTATGCCCGTAGTAGGATGCCGGATCGAATATGATGGGTTGGCCCGAGGAACGGTCAGTGCCAGTGTTGCCGCTCTATAAACGTCCCGCTGAATACCGTGCGTTGACGCACTATCGAGTTTGTTAATCCACACTCACCCAAAGATCTCCGTGAAGGAGCACGGGCTGTATATCGAGGCCGTGTAGAAGACGCGGGATCGCGCTTCAATTTGGCTTCAATACACTAGTACCACGACACAATTTGTCAACACTCACGCCTTTCGGACACGATCTCCTGTCTCGACGAGCTTTTTGAAGCCCCCTTGCTCTCGCAAATAGCCAAGAAGCTCCCCGATCATTGCATCGTAGCAAGCTTCCCAGGTCTCATGCCATCCGTTTGACAGCCTGGTCGCTCCGCAGTACGTGGGCACCCCAAACCCGAAACCCTCGGAGCTCTTATAAGCATGCATCTCCGTTGCCAATCTCCTACCAAGGGCCTTCCCAGACACCTCTGTGAGGCTGGACATGTCCTTATATTCGGACAGGAAGAATGGTCGGCCGGATCTCATATTCCCATCGGACGATTCGACATCGCCGTCTAGTAGGCCAAATGCCAGCAGGCGCGGGGCCAGGCCGGGTGCTGCTTTGTCCATAGCTCGAAGACTTTCAGCCTCTCCTCTCCACTGCTCCGCGTCCCGAGGAGAGCCAAGTTTCGCATAGTAACTCCTCCCTGAAGAAGATCTGATACGAGGAAAAGAACCCTCGAATGTTTCTCCGGGCTCGGCGGTTTTCAGATGCTTGAGAAGTACGGGATGCATTAGTCTAGTACTAGTTGTCAGCTTGTGATAGCTTCGTCAAGGATGTGAAGACAACCGCTGGGCGATCGAGAGCGTGCAGGAGTCATGACGTGACCTTGCACTCACATCTTATCTTGATTCTTATCCGGATCCTACCTGAATCTATCCCCGTATAACAATCTTCCACATGATCAGTGTGGCATTTACATAGCGACCTTTGTCAACAAGCTTCTCAATGCTCGCGGTTGTGCTTTTATAAAGCCAGAACGTCGCAGCGCTCTCCAAATACCACGAGTAACACTGTTTGAGAATCTAAGATGGCGAATGTCAACAAGCCCGTCCCCGGAGCTGATCAATACTATCCTCTCAATGAACCTCCCATTGGCACCGCATACGACGGAGTAGGCCCAGCTACGAGCGGCCAGAATCTATCATTCATCGTTGAACACAGGCTACGCACCCACAAAACAAGGCACTGCCCCCCCTTTTCAAGCCTTTGACCATCCGCGAAGTCAAGTTCTCGAATCGGATATGGGTCGTGGGTTTCCACAGACAGGACTGACTATTATCATACACAGACATAACTGATCACCCTTTTCCGATAGTCACCCATGTGTCAGTACAGCTCCGACAATGGCCACGCTACTGACTGGCACTTGGTACACATCGGTGTGAGCGATAGGTCGCTTGATGAAGCGCACGAATTGACGGTCAAGGACACAGGGCTTTGCCACTCGTGGCTGGGGAGCTATTTGCATGGAGGCAACATCGGTTGTTCCCGAGGGTAGAATATCTCCCCAAGATGCTGTGAGTCAAAGCGCAGCTACTGAGTAGCGTGTTCATCTGACTCGCTACGCGCAGGGGCTTTGGACGGATAGCCAGATCCCGCCATTGAATCGCATCGTTAACTTTGCACACGCACAGGGCACCAAAATCGGAGTGCAACTGGCGCACGCAGGAAGGAAGGTAATGATCTGCATCCGACCCTCAGGCGCGGTAACGCTGAACGCATCTTTTTGACCGAAGGCATCTACGTTGGCACCGTGGATACGTCCCACCAACGGCCCGAAGACTTACGTCGCGCATTCGGGAGAGGAAGGAGGATGGCCAGATGAGGGTACGTCTCAGAAGGCTTGAGGCCTCACATCGGGACTCCAACAGCACATAGTTTATGGCCCGTCCGCAATTTCGTTTGCGGATACATTCCCTTCTCCCAAGGAACTATCCGTGGACGGCCTTAACGCAGTCACCGAGGCGTTCTTGGCTGCCATAGAACGCTGCAAGACCATTGGATGTACGTACGACGAGATCTCGCTTCGCGCATTAGAAGCTCATCGACGATGCTGAAATTTACTTGCAGTCGACTTCATTGAAATTCATGGTGCCCATGGCTATCTTTTGCACGAGTTCTTGTCACCGCTGTCGAACGCGCGCAGCGACGATTATGGCGGGCAAACCTATGAAAACAGGGTCCGATATCCGCTGCAGCTGATTGAAAAATGTCGGAAGGTGTGGGATAAGCCTCTGTTCGTGAGGTACGGGAACGTCCGCCGACGTACTCCACAAGTTGTTGATTGGAATCACGCAGGATCTCCGCGACGGACTGGGCGCAAGGTCCTGAGCAAGAAAACGGCGAGTGGAAGCAATGGGGCATCGAGCAAAGCAAACTCTTCACGAAGGAGCTGGAGCGTCTCGGCGTTGATCTCGTGGACTGCAGCACAGGCGGCAATTGGGCCAAACAAGAGATCACAGTTGGACCGGGTTACCAGGTCCGTGCCGACACAGGGGTCTGCATCGCCTCGCTAATGTCAATTATATTAAGGTTCCTTACGCGGAAGCGCTGAAAGGGAGCTCACCTACGCTATCTATCGGGACAGTCGGCATGATCACCACGCCCAAGCAGGCAAACGAGATTATCCAGGACGCCAAAGCCGACGTCGTCTTCTTGGCGCGAGAGGCAATGCGCGATCCACACTTCCCGATGCGCGCCGCCGCCGAGCTCGGCGTGGCAATCAAGCCCGCCAACCAGTATGAGCGCGCATGGGTGCCCATGCTTTTGCCGCGTCATTGAAGCGCGAGGAACGCCACCGAGCGTTGTGGAACCAAGAAAAGCACGCACAAATTTTCCGGAGAACCAGGCATGAGGCGCCCCGGAATACGAGTAGGCGGGATGATTGAATATAGGCGGGAAAAGTCTTTCTCTACGGTTATGCTGTGTATATACGTTGGGTTCTGCATTAAGGAAGTGTTCTATATGCTTGGCATGAGTCTGTGCATGCGATGTTAGATGGCTTCGCGGAGCTTTAACGAGAGAAATTGCAACGTACGCGTCGTATCGTACAAGTTCGTCTATGTTGACAAAGGCAGCCGAAGCCAATCCTCTTGCCTCGAGGTACACCCACACCTGGATGTTGCTCAGCATGGGCACGCCTTCGTGAGAAGCGTTCTCTTACCTTGATCATCGCACCGAGGTTGTGGACCTCGACTTTTTGTATCTCGCCTTCGCTGGCCATCTGCTTACCGAGCTGCCTCAGAATCGGGAGCGCACTCTTGAAAAGATCTAGGTCTGGGTCAAGCTGGCGACCGATTCCCTCTAGGAGCAATATGCTGATGACGGTGTTGACAAAGTCGCCCTCCATCTTGACGTGGTGAACGCGAACGGCCTTAAGGACCTCGGTGAGGATGTCGGATATCTTGATCTGACCGAGCGAGAACGTCTTCCGCTTGACGTTGAGCACGAGGTGCTGCATCTTGAGCGCGAACGTCTCCGGATCGAGCGCGAGCTCGGGGCAGCGGCAGCGCTCGACCATGAGTTGGCCCGCGCGGTAGCCGTCGAACTCGGCGATGGCACGGAAGAGATCCAGGAAGTTGCGCCGATTGTTCCCATTGAGCGTGGTAACGAGGCCGGCATCTATGAACACGACCTCCGGGACGTAGCCTTGCGAGTGAAGCTCGCTGAGGGCCGCGCGCCATGCTGCGGGATCGTGCTCGAGAGCGCGAAGCCGGGCGATAAGTGCATCAGACTCGGCAGTGTTGAACGTCTCGGACACAGGCGGGTCCGGGGAGGAGGAAAAGAGCGAAGTCCAGACACTCTTAAGCAGGCGGCGAGTGGAGGGGCGGCAGAACTTGACCATGATGTTGCCGGGATGAAGGTCAGAGTGGACAAAGTTATCGAGGAGAAGCATGTTGAGGAAGGCATCGAGGCCCATCTCGGCGAGGCCGTCGTTGAACGGGCCGCCGCCATTCTTAAGAAAAGCTTCGAGCGACAGTGCGTTCTGGTACTCTTCAACGAGAATGTCCTTTGTGCTCCACACTTTGAGCGGGCGGGGGAAGGTCACCGGGTCCTTGCGGCCCTGGAAGTTTTCCTCGAACTTGACGAGGTTTTCTGCCTCGTTTCGTAGGTCAACCTGCTCGTACATCATCTTGCCAAATACGTCCACCTCCTCGGGTAGTGACAACCACTGCATGCCGGGGAAGAGGGTGATGAGGTGGGCGAAGAACGACATGATGGATAGGTCGCGGGCGATGAGCTTGGTGACTTTGGGATGAAGTATCTTGATCGCGACCGCGGCGGTGGGTACAACGGGGGGCGGGTCCTGCATTGACACGGGGGCGAGTGCGGCGGGTAGCTTTTGAGACTTGCGAGCGCGTTTAGGAGTGACATAAGAGGGCGGGAGAAGATCGTGCTTGAGGGTTGCACGGTAAACCTGGGCGATGGCGCCGACGCCGATGGGGGTCTCGTCGAAAGCCTCGAAAACGTCGTCAAATGGCCTTTGGAAGACATCTTCAATGACGCGTCTGGTGTGGCGGAGGGAATGAGGCGTGCCTCGGGAGTGGAGTGCTCCGAGCCGTTGACACAGGATAGGCGGGAAAAGATCGGTTCGCGAGCCTGCCCATTGTGCAAGCTAAGGCAGGTTAAGTTTAAGACCGGTACCGTGGGTTCTGACGCATACCTTTATGAACGTCGGGCCTGCACGGTTCATCTGGGTAACGAGAAATTCATACCACCAGACGGCGCCCCACCTGTCGCCGTCATATTTTTTCTCCGGCTTGCCCACGAGTAGCATGGGGGCGGTGACAAGGACCGGGGTGAAGACGAGAATGAGGTAGATGCATCGTCGTCCGGTAAGGATGGGCTCCCATATCCACTCGCGCAAGAACTGGAGGATCCTGCGAGGGATGGACAGCTGGGGTTCGCGAGGAGAGTTGATCTGGAGCAGAGGCTTCCTGGGCGGTTGTTGGGGACACGGGATTAGGCGAGGCGAGGAGAAGAGCTGGGGAAGAAGCGAGTCCCTCGTCGGCTGGGGCAGCAGAACGAGAGCGGTGCCCGCTGCTACGGGGAGGAGCCAGAGACGCGAGCGCTTGGCAGGGAGGGCCGGGTTGCGGGTGAATAAGCGGGCACGGAGGGCGGGTCTGCGCCCTGCAGCGCGGAAGACGCCCTGGGCGAACATACCATCGCCAGGTCCGATGCGAGCTGCAGCACACCCATCCGCCAAGGTGACGTCGGGGTGGCCGGTGGTGGCAGTGCACTCCTTCCTTCTGCACAACTTCCGTCGCGGAGAACCCTCATTCAGAGTCTAGCGCTGCAGTCGACTCGCACGATGCGTACGGCCATCGGAGCTCTATGATACTGCTCAGCTCTAAAGAACAACGGCAGTCGAATCCCGGTCGCCGATCGGCCTCAGGACTCCTCAGATCCGATGTCACGTTCATCATAACGTCGGCTGCTCGATGGACCGCCACGAGTAGCTTCTGGGCGGCACCTCACAATGCACATCCAAGTTGCGCACTTGGACGATCCTCGACGTCATCATCGTCATGCCGCACTTTCTCTGGGCCAGGTATATAACAACTGTGCACGTCGTGATGCACTTGCCAATCTCCTACCAAAACTCCCATCCAAACCGCACAATTATGTCCGCAGTCGAGGATCAAACCAAGATTTCCACCCGTGTTGCTGGCGGGTACAAGGGTGCGCTCGTCAATAATAGCCTTCACGCAATCGACCATATGTCACATTCAGCCGCGATCAACAACGACCGCAACTCTGAGGAAGGTAAAGAACATGCCCGCCATAAGCTAGAGGAGCTCGAGAAATCCGGCGATATCGAGAAAACACAGGAAAGTTATGAAGATAACAACGGCGGCAAAGATGAAATGCGCGTCAACGCTGGCTACAAAGCCACCATGAAAAGTGAGTCGGCATGTTCATCAGCTCAGGCCGTTGATAACCGAAATCACTTCAGACCCCAATGTGTCTGACGAAGCGAAGGAGCACGCACGGGAGCTGCTCGAAAAGAAGGGCGCTATCTGAATTTTGGTGTAATTTGGCAGCGAAAGTCATCCATGATGTGTAAATGTAATATCTGAAACCATTCAAAGTCCTGGTATGCCTCAGATTGATGCGACAAGCTCTACCAAGAACATTCGAACACCGTGAGAGCCAGCGACGAGACACCTGACGAATAGCGCACAGTTTGCACTCGTATGAACTGCACGATGAGACTTTTTGATTCGATAGTGTTTCAGTCAAACCAGAGTGATCGACATGAAGTTGTGCGCCAATTTCGACTCTCGCGAAAGTTAAGGCAGGTCGCAAACGGGGGGGCATCACATGACCAAAATTCTAACAAAATACCTCTTACCCTCTATCGCCGGGTTCACCAGCGCAACTAGCGTATTTTTGTTCCCATACGATCCTCAGGAAATGCATAACAGAGGGCTCTATGGATCCAGATTTTTTTCATATGAGCTCAGGAACAAGTGAACAGCAATTCAAGGCATCCATTGCGTGGGAATCAGAGACATCCTAACGTTGTGATTGGTCGATGAGTTTCTCAAACTCCCTTGGAATGTCGTCATGCACGCGTGACAAGCCCCCCCGTTTGCGATGGCCCTGCCTTATGGTTGTGCAGATGTACTGCTTCTTTGACCCGGCGCAGCACTTGCCAGCACGGACAGAGCAAAGTCTATCTCCCTCATGCGGGGCGCCAGAAGGTCCGATCACGGGATGTGACATCACTCAGTACACCGATCATAATCACCCGGAACCGCTTGGTTCAATATAGCGTGGCGCGGCGGGCCTGAAGGAGTAATGCCCAACGGAAGGCAACGCGCACGGCCTCGACCGAGACGAAGTCGGGGACAATGTCCGCACTAAGTGCGACATTGGCCCTCGGCCACGATCTGCGATGATGCTCAGATGATGCTCGGGCTGGTCATCTGGGATCGCTTTGCGCCATATGTAGCAGTGTGGGGGAGGATGACATAAGGCTCGCTCGGTCCCACCCGAAGCTTCGAGCCTGCCCGCCCGCCAAAATCTTGTACCCATACCACCACCGCGTCCAAGCGCGTCCGCCTTGGTCTTTCTTCTCTTCATCAGGCCCTCTGGCCATGCCCGCTCCTTATGCGTTTGTATCCTTATTGACCTCCGACACCTACCTACCTGGCGCGTTAGCTCTCGCCGCGGCCCTCAAAGAGGTGCATCAATCCTCGGCCGATGAACAGAACATCCAATTCGAAACAGTCTGCCTCGTCACGCCAGAGACGGTCGACGTCGCTTCCATAAAACTGCTCAGAAGAGCTTTCGATGTCGTCGTCGGCGTGGAGATCATCGAACAGAACGACGATAAGGGCCTTCGGCTTCTTGGTGAGCGAATTTCCCGCGCATATATTCCGAACGTAGCATACGCCCGCCGGACGGGCGTATATGCGTGCCTTTCTAGCTCTTTAGACCACATCTCGGATTGCAACGCGCATTTGCGCATTCTCTTTCGGATCTTGGCTCAGGGACACGGCGCTGTGGAGCAAAGCCGGCTCACATGATTATACCCTGCTTGCTCGCCGGAACCGCCGATATGCTGCTGACCGCTGCGTCCGTTCATCCTCATAGGACGCCCGGATCTCAACCACGTCTGCACCAAGCTCCATGCCTTCCGCCTGACCGAGTACTCCAAGATTATCTTCCTAGATGCCGATGTTCTCCCCATTCGGCCGCTCTCTCACCTCTTCACGTTACCCCACGAGTTCGCGGCGGTTCCTGACGTGGGGTGGCCCGACATCTTCAATTCCGGGGTGTTCGTCGCCACACCTGGCGTACACCACTTTCAGGATCTCATGGAGCTGCTCAAGACCCGTGGCAGTTGGGATGGCGGAGATCAAGGCCTGCTGAACGAATGGCGCGGCGAAAACTGGCACAGGCTCAGCTTTACCTACAATACGACCCCCACAGCCGCGTACACGTCAGTCTAGACTGTCCTGATTTTCTCTCGCACGCGGCTGATAGAAGCACGCCAGATATGCTCCGGCGTACGAGCGTTTTGGGGCTAAAATTTCGGCCGTCCACTTCATCGGCCCCAACAAACCGTGGAACGCTATTCCGTGGCGCGGTCCGACCTCCGAGAGTTTTCAAAGCCAGATTTTGGAACATCGCGAACCGACTCCCCTCAACCAGGTGTACAACTACGGATCACTGGTGGACCGCTGGTTTGCCGTTTACGACAAGTATTACCGTTCCCCCCGCACGTTGCCGCCGGCTCAGTTTGAACTGCAACGCTACCAATCAGCATGGGATGAAGGTTCTCATCTCGGCGCAGAAGCCCTCCCCAGCCAGGCTCCTACCCATGCCGGGGGCTCGTTAGGTCTGGAAGATCTCAAGCGTATCGCTTTAGAAGGGGTCAGCGGTACCTTCGCTGGCTCTTCTGATGGGGACCGCTCCGAAGGCGGATACCGGCGCATGCCGCTCGAAGGACGGGTCGACCTGATGCGTCCGAAGCGTGAATATGTTGCGCAGGACGAGATCGACGACCAGGCGCAGGGAAGCGGTCCTCCCCCTGTTATCGTGGTAGAGGCTGCCACGCCCCCACAACCACCGCAAGGATTTCGCTTCGAGACTCTGCCAACTCCGCAGCCTCACGAGCTTCCTCCTGCTCCTCATCCGGGATTTCGCTCTTTGGCTCCATCGCCGTCACCGTCGCCATCTCAAGGGACCCAACCTGCTGGTGACAACGAACAGCATCAACAAGGCCAGCAATATCATCTGAGCCATGGCCACCGCCATCACGGATCCACCCCTTCTGAACCTTTCCTCGGGTTTCCTCAACATTCTCACGATCGTCACGTAGCTCCAGCACCTTCCCCTCTGTATTTGCCTCCGTCCGATTCTGACTCTTCCTTCGATTCTCCTGTCCAGTATTTCTCGCAACAGCATCTTGGTATCTCTTCGAGCTCTGCTCACCAACGGCGCCATGCTGAAGCAGGCAACCGGCCCATGTCCTCACATCATCTCCATCACCGACATGATTTCCGCGTTTCACCTTCCGGCAGTCCTGGGCACCATAGCCCAACTACGGGCCGTCGTCACTCTCCGCCACAGGCTCAATACCACGAACTGCCTCCTCACATGCATGTCCATGTCCATACCCAAAATCGCCATCACCAAGAACCGCCTCGTCCGGCGTCGCCGCCGAAGGTACAATGGAATCCTGCGATCGAGCCGCCTCCGAATGACCCTCCTTTGCAGTCTGCCTTCCCAACCGAAACGTTTTTCACCAACGCATGGGATCAAGCCAAGGCTCACGACGCACAAGGAGTGGGTGCACCTCCTGACCACTTGTTCCAAGCTCCGCCCCCAGCGCCTATTCCTCACGACTTGATTCAGCAGGGCCACTACCGCAATGTCACAGGCGACGGTGGCGGTCACGATCCTGTCCCTGATCGGTCGCATGTCAAACACGTCTTCCCTTGGGAGGACAAACCGCGCCCCATGCCGGCTCGCGTGTTCCCCAAGGCCGACGAACTACCGCCAGACGCGCAATATTTCTCGAGTTCGCCGAATCTTTCGCCATCTATAAGCAGCCCGCGCACCCGTGCGGTGCGCACGCCTTCAGGCTCTGTCGCTCATCTGCTCTCCCCGCCCGGCAGCTTCCCACAAAGGATCGGCTACGCTAATGCCTGGGACTCTGTGCCCAGTATACAGAAGTATGCTTCCAGGCTGGCGCAACCCCCGCTCCCTGCGCGAGCCGCTGGCTCGAGCACCGGCAAGCTCATGAGCTGGGACGAACGAACTGAGGCCGGAAGCCGGGATGCCGATGATGAAGACGAAGGCGACGATGAACAATCCGATGACGGCGGTCAGGACCCTTCGGACGGGGAGGAAAGCGGCGATGACCCTGCCAAAGGACGCCTGCGTCGCTCTGGCGATTCGACTCCGGTCAGAACAGGGACAGGTTCTCCGAACTTTTTGGTGAGTCGATCGAAATATCGTTCTCGCGGGGTCCAGACAGACCCCGTTGAGACACGAAGTCAGGCAGTGCAGGTTTCATCGCTCGAGGCGCAGATCTCGCCGCACGAGCATGATGCACGTCTGATCAGGGAAAGGCGCATATCGAAGGGTCGTGCGGAGCTAGCTCCAAGTCGTCTGCCGCCACCGGCAAGTCCCAAGCTGGCGGGCATTCAACAGCACCGTCGCGTATCGCCTCTAAAGATGCAGATGCCTTTCAGAAGAGCATCGCCAAGCGGCGGCTCTCCGACGATCTCTTCGCCGGCGGTTACTCATCCTGCGGCGCGTCCACAGGTCTACAACCAGACGCCTATGGAGACGCCTGAGTTCTCTTCGCCGCCTATGGCGATGGTGCGCACGCCGTCGGCGTCCTCCTCCTCGCAAGGCCCGATATCGCCAGCGGAAGGTCAGCCGATCTCTGGGGTCGCCTCGATGCCTGCTCGCAAGCCCACCGGGCGAGTTTGGGATCCGGCACGCGGGGTGGACGTTTTCAAACGAGGTTCTGAAGAGGTGTTGGCAAGGTTCTTGCGCATGGGTGGCTGGGAAGAGGATGCTCAGGCTCGTGGCCAAGATCGAGTTTCACGTTAGACCAGATAACTAGACGTCGTTTTCATCGGCAAGTATGCTCTCGCCATGTTATATTGTACTGCGTTGATAAACTATTCATAGGCCTTCCCCTACGTTCGTTCTGTCAGTTTTTGGACCAGTTCTCGTCTCCGTGCCGTCTGCGTTACCCTTCTCGCAATTTCCAGATACCCGTGCCTCTCACCAATGTCGCTTCGTATGCAGAAATGAGTCGGTCTCGCAATACCATGCCAATGTTGTTATCCATCGAGAGAACGACTTGACGTCACTGGCTCGCCATAAATGTCTGTACAGCCACTTCGCCATGACGGGGTTGGATGGATGCACCGAACATGACATCATGCGCGCTCCACCGTTTGCTATGGGATCGTCCGTATAAAGATGCACGACGCGTTACCGGGGCTCCCTCAGATACACCCGCTTTCGATCAGTCTGACACGATCGTTACGCCACCGTAATCATGTCCAAGTGCGTGGCATTCGCAAACCCGCTATCGCGTCACTTTCCTGATGAATACCCCAGCGAACAATACCAGACCACCGCCGCTGTGGCGGAGGTTGAGGCATCCACCGACAAGTTGGCGAAGCAAGTCGACCAGAACGCGTCGATCGCCCAAGAGGTTGCATCCGAGGCAGCATCGACCGCGCAGGTGAATATTATGTGGAGGGTATTCAGTCCGCAGGTCTGATCATATACGCAGAGCAAGGGCTCCAGTTTGACCGGAGACGTGTCTGTCTCGCAACAGCTCGGCGAGAAGATGAACGCCGCTGCGGCCGAAGGCCAGGCGAATGTCGAGTCTGCCAAGGCGACCGGTGCCAGTTACGTTGATCAGGCAAAGGGCCTGGCTAGCAGCGCAATCGCGTCTGCTACCGTGAGTTACAGTGGCCAACAGTGTAGACAATATCTCAAGAAAACCACAGGCAACTGCGAACTCCATGCTCGGCACCGTACAATCAACAATACAGCCGCACGTCGAAACAGCGAAAGCGACTGCTCAGCCTCACATCGAGCGGGCTACCGCCGCCGTTCAACCCTATGTAGAACGAGCCGTTGCTGCTGCCCAGCCTCACATCGAGACCGCGCAACAATATACCGGTCTTGCATCCGCTGCTGATGGCACCGCGGCAGGACCACCGTCAACCGGCATTCCATCGACAACGGCGCCTCTGGAGGCAGGCTCGCATACAGTAGATAGTCCTTATCCTAACACAGCGACTACGGAGGGTGCACCGAAGGTTGGCGAATAAATGGGTTTCTGCAATCGTAACTTTAGCATTATACCACACCCCCAAATTGAGACCTGGTGGAATAGACATACTGCGCATGCAGTATGTGTATCGTAGTAACTATACCGGCGTTGCACAACTATCTCTGCTGCGTTCCCATGAGCATTGAGGTACCTTGATATGACGTCATGGCATTGCTGTAGCGATAGCATCTGTGTCTCCCTCTACGGAGTGCAGGCATCTCTGCCTTGTTTCTGTCCCCAGTCCAAAGCCTGTCGCAATGGTGAGCACCATAGTATTCAGATAAGATGTGCCTTGCCCATGTTCCACATCGTAGGAAAATTTTATCAACATTGCCAAGCAGGGTTACGAGGCATACCAAGAATCTCAAGGTAGATAAAGCGCTGTAATCATCGCTGATTTTGTCCATCTCATCGTTCGTGTAGGAAACGTGAGCCAGACAGGTGGCCAGCAATACAACACTCCCAACAATCAGCAGCAAGTCGTCAACGACGTGCACAGTAGTAGTAGGTCGACGCCTTGGAATATGAATCCGGCGATAAGTAACGGGCGTTTGGTAGTTGACGGCGAGGAGGCCGTCCGCAGCGCGTCTTCTCATGGCTCTGGTGATAGTGGCCTTTTCTCCCAAGCGTTGAGTTTTATCGGTCAGAACAAGGTTTGTTGGTTAATATTGTTGGTCTTCCTGCTCTCATATTCCACAATTAGCAAGAGCATACCCAACCGATCGACGAGCAACACGTACAGAACGCTCACGTAGAGGCATATCAAAACAACAACGCCTCCAGCCTCAGTGCGGGCTCACTGGGTAGCGCCGCGGCGCTGCAGGTACTCAAGCAGTTCACCTCCGGAAGCAGCACCTCAGGAGGCGGAGGCAACATGCAAACGAAGATGATAAGCATGGCTATGGCAGAGGCCAGCAAGCTCTTCGACAGCGCTGGCGGTGCGTCCTCAGGTGGCAAGCAGGATGCAGTCAATTCGGCAGCCATGACCGTTATGAAGCTCATGGTCCAATCCAAATTCAGCTCCGTGAGTGGCGCTGGTAATAGCGGCGGTCTCGGTAGTTTGATGGGCATGGTATTCTTTTCCCTTAACGATCTTTCAATCGATGCTGAACGAATACACAGGCGATGAAGCTGGTGTGAAGCACAATGGTCCTTCTTGGCAGCCATTGATGTTGGAAGTGATGGGCAATCCTTGACAGTATGCATTTGCAATCGAAGTATTCACTTGAAACGACGCGATCATGTCCAGTTGTAGCTCATGATATGTAGTCCAACGATACAGCCTGACTGACGAAACATCGAGTATCGATACACAAGGATTACAAAGAACAGTAACACGAGAGCAAAACTATAGCAAGACAGCAGCTGGTGGTTCTTGAACGGATGGAAAACATATATACGAAAATATCAATATGAATATGTGGAACGGACGACGGCCCGGGAAGCGAGCGACATTGGTACCGAAGGACACGGAGACTCATGACAAGGAAGACATCGAGTGGGTACACAGCTGTGAATTCAGGGATGACCATGAAGGGGATGTGACCTTTGGCGATTCAGCAGCCACGCTTGATAGGAGAGCAAGGGGAAGAATGCCGTGCATTCCGTACATGTCGCCAAATGGCGCGCATCCTGTCTCTGACACGACGAGCACGTCGTGTAGATCTGACTCGAGGTGGAGTACTGGGGACAGCGGAGGGACAGGGTACGATACAGGTGACGGTGGTGTAGCCAAGAGTGATTCATCTGAGGTGTTCGTGCCGTCGGATAAGTAGAGTGACGGTGACGACGAGCTTCGAGCATGATAGCTGAACGGTTCGGTGAGGGCCTGATATGCCGCGGTCGTGCGCATACGTTTCCTGGGAGCTGCCTCCGAAGAATCAATGGAACAAGTTGAAGTGCCGAAGGAAGCGGGATGTTGATGATGAGGGCCGTCGGCTGCGGTTGGTGAACTGAGAGCAACTCGCTTTCGTCGAGGAAGCGGTGCCGTGGGGCGGGCAGGGGAAGTTGCTACCGTGCGTGGAGATGACTGTGGTGAAAGCGGGAGACCATATCTAGGCGCAGGGTTTGCTGGATCCACCGGCGACCCCTCTGAGTCCCTTGAAGCACCTATCCGCAGGAACTCGGAGCTGCCACGTTTCGGTAGCGGGGCAATAGGACGAACCCAAGACTGGTCACTGGGTTGATCTTGATTTGCACGCCGCTTCCGCGACTGTGCCATAAGCACCAACGGCACCAACTTCTGCGGTATGAATGCTGCCAGCGGGGCTTTTTGTACGATGGTTGTGATAGCGATTCTGGCGGCCGCATGGTCTGTTCTTAACCTTGACGATGTACCTTTAACATTCTTGCTGATGTCCGACACGCATGGCAAATTCTTCTTGCGCATGCGCGTGAGCTCGCAGGGCTTCGGATAGGTACGCAAATGGGCGAACAGGATATTGAGTTCGTCCACATCGAGTGCCGGTATAGAAGGCGTGGATGAACATGGACAACGAGCCCAGGTTGGCTTAGGAAAACTTCCGCGCGCATCCTTGACATGTCCATCCTCGAATGCGGGTGGATATCGTGTGGGGAATGCGTAATTGGGCGCAGCGTAGTGGAATGGATTTGGCGCGGTGATGGATATCTGCGGCGTCATCATATCGGGCTCCGGCTAGGGAACATGTGTCAAGACAATGACCTCATAAAGGTCGAGTTTTGAAAGAACTAACGTAGTCTTCCTCCGAAGAGTGCACTTCATGAAATTCAGCGTGCTCATCACGCATTTCCCCGGCAGTTGGTTTTATAATTTCAGGCGCTTCCTTCTTCACATCTTCAAGTGTAACCTTCTTGCGTACGATAACGCGTCGCCCCTTATAATCGGAGTCCTTCGGGGATCGATTGCGCCGGTTTTGATACTGCCATGAGAGTCAGCATTGGTATCGAGGCGTAAATACGACACTTTGGTACCCACCCAAACGCTTATCTGTTTGGTGGTCATACCCGTTCGTTGCGCAAGCCATGTTTTGTCATGAGTGGTTGGATAGGGATGTTCGCTGAAGAAATGCTCAAGAAGGGCAACGTATGCCTAGTGCAGGAAGGCTGGGTTGTGAGAGAATGCATATGCATACGGGAGAGTAGTGCGCACATGGTTGAATGTAGTTCGCTTGTTTTTACGAGTTCGACGGAGACGGCCGTCGGGGTCATGCGAGATGAAATGTCGTTTGGATATTTGTCGCGAGATCGCCAGAAGACGTGCACGCAAACGATCCTTGAGTTCCGTAACCCAACCATCCAGGATGGCAAGATAGCGCGATGTCACGACCGCGACCAGTTTTGCCTGCAGATGCTCCTGAGGCAAAGCTTCCAAAGCCCTTTGGCTCTTCGCCTCCGTGATACGCTTCAATTGATGGCCGGAATTTCGCAGCAGTTCAGATACTTTGGCCGCAGCTGACGCATTGCAGCCAAGTTCTATGAACTCGTCTTTGAGATCTGGAGGTTCCGGGAGAGATATAATCAAGGTAGGATGGGATTGGGTGGGCAGAGGATGAGATATAGAGGACTCTGCTCGCTTGCAAAGATTCCGAGCCAGCTTCGCAATCCTCTCGAGGGTAGACTGGGCCATAGCGATAGGTGAGGCCGAAGACGATGTGCACCTGCAGCGATCCCTTGCACGGCGAAGTATTACGTAACACAATGGCGGCAGTACGATGCCGTGCCATTGTCCCCCGTCTACAATAGGCGACGGTGATCCCACGCCGCAAGCAATCCCCTCTGATCAACTCATTCCTTTCCAATGGCCAGCGACATACGAGAAAGGCTACTTTCCGCTGAGCAGCAGCTCCTCAACGCGGTCACAAGCGGCGGGACCTCCTTACTTGACTTCCACGTTACATGGGATGCGCTCTCGGTCGACGTTGAGCGAGCCGTCGAAAGCAACTCGCTCGACGAACAAATGAGGTCCATCGCGAATAGTGTCACATCTCGGGTGTCAATACTCGTCGAACATTTCCTTAAACTCAACTCCTCATCATCATCTTTCCAATCCTCATTTCTGGATACCGTGGAGCACATATTGAACAGCACGGACATCATACCCAACGATAAGGATGAATCGTCATCGGACTTCGTAAGCTCCATCCAACGCTACGGCTGGGTTGAACTCATTCCAGCATCAGGAACCTGAAATCTGCGCGACAATGTCCTACGTCGAACCTGCTTATCAATGGCTTATCGCCAATATCCACAATCCCTACCCTTCTACAGCAGAGAAGATCCGTCTCGCTCGCAAAAGCGGAGTCACAGTCGAGGTCATATCAGATTGGTTTTCCAGAGCGCGGCGGCGCATGGGTTGGACCAACATCTGCGCCACCTATTTCAACAACTGCAAAAGTGATATGATCGATGCCGCTCGCCGAGCTTACGTTGACGATTTAGAACAACCTCATAAACCCCTACCTCAAGAATTGGCAATGGTATTCGTACAGCTTCGTAGCCGGGCCCTTGAGTTATACTCGGGCAAGTACAGAGCGAGTGAATTGGTGAAGAGACTCCAGCCTGTTGTTCAGTCGGTCGACAAAGTTGGACACAGAACTTCCAGACGCCGGCGAAAGGGCAAGAACTCAATATGCACATTGTCCTCAGGAATTTTGCCCGAAAATCCTGCGGCTTCGTATCCATCGCCACCCTCATCTTCTCCCGCGGACCAGTCTACGACAGAGTCGGAGGACATCTCTCAATGCGGACAGAAGCGTCGGCGCTTGTCTCCACCGTCTGGCCCGCCCGCAAAACGCCACAGGTATGCTTTGCAACGAATCTGCATGAGACCTCATTACTTAATTCAATACGTCAGATCCGTCGATGTGACAGCAGACCCTGCTCATCCTCTGCAGTTACCTTCTCCATTGGCGAGCCCGAAGGTCACAGCTGAGGATGTCCCCGCTACGCAAATGCGCAGAAAGCGTCGACTCTCTACATCCGCCTCGGAAGGTCTCCCTAAGCGACCCCGGGGCGCCCCAAAAACTTCCCGATTGCAAGTCGTGTCGGACCCATTCCCTGCACATAGTGCGGATGTCCATAACGAGGATCCTTCCTACGATCTCTTCGGCGGTTTCTTTACCTCGAAGTTCTCGAACATACATGTGGTACCCGAAATTACCACCCCGATGGACGGTGCAGACCACAATGTAGACGTAGGATGGCTGCCTTCAAATGGCTCTTCTCACCCGTCACCCCCTCTCGTGTCGCTCCTTGCTCCCCTTTCTCACTTGGAGCTGCCGGACGGTGAATTCTTTCACAACGCGAATCCCGCAATCTTCGACCCATCCCAGTCCTTATTCGGCGCCGGCTATAACGACTATTCAACCCTGTCAGGCAACCAGGATGCGTTCAATTTCGACCCGTTGCCGAATTATAAGGACTTTTCTGTCGACGTGTCCCGGTTGTCTTACCCCTCTTCGCACCAGAACGCAACGTATTCGAATCTTCTCGATTTGTCTCCATCCTCGGAACAGGTGCTCTCCATCGCCTCCTGTCTCTCATCTGGACCCGTCCGCGAGCAAAACCAAAGTTTCCTTGCCCTTCTCGCCGAACCAGATTCCGGCACATCCGCAGCTTGCCTCCCTTTGACCGACCTTGAGGCCATGGAGGCCCCCTCATCTGTTTCAGCGGACACAATTCCTATTGACGCGGCGGGTTGCGACTTCGCATCGCACGATATCGACTTTGGGACCATGTTGAATCCAACTAGCCCGGACGCCGATGATCTTTCACTTGGAATCCCAGGCGAGCGTGCCGTCCAGTTCATGTGATCCCACAACGCCACTTTCCCCATTTTACTCAAATTATACTTCATTCATGCTATCTCTCCGTGCTCATTCATCTTAATTCCCCTTGCATTATGCTATCGTTGCTGTTGCCGTTACTCGATGTATCGCTGTCATTGCTGTCATCCACTGTATGTATACCACTCCATGGTTCTCAGTAATCTATTCGTATATTATTTTCTGCTTTTCGTGCTATCTACTGGGTGTGTGTAGTGCTCATTGTATTTATTCAATACTACACGTCGAGCTGCTTTAAGTTGCCAATTCACGCACTCCTCCAGTCGAATACTGCATCTCTATGAAGGTGTGTTTCCAACACGAACCTTTAAGTATTAATGATTACTTCGGAAAGGCGAAGCACCGTAGCGAGGCCTTGGGGCAACGGCAACATGTAGCATCAAGAAAGTCCGCAGCTTGTAGCAGACATATATAAGTGGAATGTTTCCGCTCAAGAAATATGTATGGAAAGCAGAGAACGATATGGCGGTTTGCATCGATGTTGCATTACTTAAGCGTCACTTTTCTGCATTTAGTGGATCCGGATTAATCTGGAAATTATGTATGCTACTCTCACAGTGGGTGCGCAGTGATCCCCACGCAATCCGGTTGTAATGCAACGTCCCTCGAAACCATGACAAGCTTGATCGTAGTTTGAACTACAGGAAATGATACAATTATAAAAGGTAGTCATGCATGTATGCACAAGCGACTCAATCGCAAGCGACGGGATGAACGTTTTTCGTGAAGGTCAGCATGTGGCATGTGATATATCCTTTGGCAAATCCGGCAGCCGCGTATGAGAAGAGGTATTCCCACTTCCGCTTTAGTGCGTCGAAGTCGTACTTGTTTTCATAATGTGCCTGCGTCCTCGGCAACGACGCGATGTATTGCTTTGATGTCGTCGGTGAAAGACCGAGGGCTGCAGGCGTGAGATTCTTCGCTGCCCGTCGTCCCCATGTTCTGAGCGTCCGCGGGTAGTCTGAAACAACTGAGGTGAAACAAATGCTTCGGCGATGATTCGTTATACGTACGCGCAGCATGATTTTCTATACCCTCGAGAAGGAAGCGACCTTCCGAAGCGGAATGTGCAGCATTGACAAGGGCCGTTGCACTCGGTAGATTGCTGTTGGGCCACATGTAACGGCGCATAAAGTCGTCCGGTCTGCGGCAGAGTGGTTTCAATCCACTAATATAGTTTCGCGATGAGAGCTCCACGCTACACGCACTGATATGCGGAGAAGCGGCACTCCGGGAAGGTTGACGAAGTCACAACGGCGGTCGAACCGTCATCTTTGAGTGCCCAGTCAACCATCTTGAAGTACGTTTCATAATACTGAAAAACGGCATTATCAAAAATTTCATTTCTGACATCACGGAGGGCTGGATGTACCTTTGTGCCGACATGCTACGCATTTGATATTGAATAACCGTACTCACCTCAATTGCAGGTACTCACCTCAAGCATTTCGATGCTAACGAAGGCATCAAACGCCTTCTCGAATTCCGGAGGCAGTTGTCTGTAGTCCATGAGATGCACACGGATGTGTCCATCTAAACCTGCCTCCTTGATGCGTTCCTCGGCGAGTTTCTTCTGTTCGATGGACAAGGTAAGAGTGTCAACTTGAGCACCATAGGACCGAGCAGCCTGGGGCATTGGAATTAACAAAGGAAGCGGCGTCATGGTAATATACCGTACTTCGATAGCGAAGCCTCCCCATCCAGAGCCGAACTCTAAGATACGATAACCTGGTTTGATACGAGCAGCTTTCAGGACATGCCGCAGCTTGCGCAACTGTGCCCGCTCCAAATCGTCCGGCGTAGGACCGGAGATAATGTCTCCGCGAACGCCGCCCTCCTCCTCTCCCCATAGAGCGGTTGAGTACATCATCTCTCGACTGAGGAATGTCTGCGGGAGGGTGATGAGCCAGAGAGCTGTTTGGTTGTGTATTCATCCTCACCTTGAATAGTTCGTTCGATTGATCGTAGCTCGCCATAGCATTCAATCTGGCGCGCGTGACAGATTGGCCAAATAGAGCATTTGATATGCCCGAGATTCTGGCTGATAGGCGATTGAATAACGAGGACATCCCGCCCATCCTAGGATTGTCAAGCCAGAGCTATGCCATCAATCAACCCCTTGGTTGGCGCTACGAAACAGTGAAACGTACATCAAACACTCCCTTGAGATTATCCACCCGTATGTCGCCTATCATGAAGGCTTCACTGACTACGAGAATGTCAACGCCAGCGTGGGATAAATGGGATCACAGAGAACCTACATCCTAGATCACCGGATCTATCGAGATAGAGTGGGACAACATCGAGATTTATATAGCTAGCACTCAAGAACGGGGGAAAACCCACAGAAAGAGGGCGCTCCAGAAATTGTCGTTGATAACGCGAATATGAACGACATTGCATTGGTCCGTATATTGACCGAATTGGTGTATGCCTTGGGCGTCCTCTATTTCGAGGTATCCAACGGCGATTGCTTGTTCCAAAAACGCCAAAATCGACGATCGGGCTAACGACAGATCGTCAATTTACGAATCGGATCAGCACCAGTCAAGCTGAACACACAAACCAGCAGCGCTAAACCAGGTACGAGGTTTTGTGATTAATGTTGTCGGAGACTTCGACAGAGAAGTTAGGGTGAAGGGGAACCCGGCAGTTACAGCAAGACTCATGTTGAAGGTGATCGCGATCGAGCGGGAGCAAGTTGCGATCTTCAAGGAGTTCGGGGTGCCCTTTTATTCGCTCGGGAAGGTCGCTGTGAAATACAACCCAAAACGCACTCCACATTATGTTGCATCGCACGAAGGGAAAGTGATAAAGTGCGAGATGGGACCATTGCCGAGTTTCGGAGGAGGCGTCCCGAAGGAGAGGAAGAGAGCCAACGACCTTCGTTCCAACAGCCTGTAGGTAAATCGGTCGCGATGGAAAATCTCTAGTCCATCATGCATTTTTTCCATCATGGCGGATTGGCGGCTTTCGATCTGGACTCGTCCAGCAACCGAAGAACATGAAGACACCTGCAGGACATTCAGGACTCGTGTTCGTCTTCCCCAATGATAGTGCTCACCGAAGACGTATGGATTGACCATATGTGATCAGCCCGTGAAACCGCAGATGGCCTTCCCGTGAATGGTGCCCGCCGATGACATTGCCTGTGCAGCGGCAGGCTCAGTGATGAGCAGCCGCCTATGCATCTTCATATTGCATGTGCTCAGATCATGCCGAGGGTGGGTACATTTGCGACCACGATTCCCTGGATGAGCACGTTGGTTGCTGCGCCAACTTCAGCCACCGAAACATGTATCGTTCGATGTTTAGGCGTGCAGGGTCGGAAGCAAGTCCGGAAGACTGGCATTGAGTTCTCCAGTCGGATAACTTCGGTGCCTGTAATTAGGTATCGGCGTGCCGTCACCCGCCGTACGCGTGTGTCACAAAAGGCCACAAAGGAGCGTTCCACACCGGAAGTTCCCGTCACCCGCACCTATTGCAGCTGTGAAGTTGAAACGTTGAAGCCTTCATCTGGAGTTGCATCTTGTTGAACCGAGCTCTTCAATTACTTTTTCATCACGTGACAGATTGCATGACACTCCTTCGTGCCAGAAAGTCCCGATAACTCTACGTATCAGCAAGGGCCGGCGGCGAGACGGAGATGAACATCGTTGCGTCCGGAACGGTTCCGTTTTGCGGGCAGTGTTTACCACGTGTAGGACTCGTGCATGAGCTTGCATCTCGCTATCTGTTCCGGCCTTCGCAACCGCTCGATGCCCTCCTTTCTCTCGTATGCACTACTAAGCCGGAAAGTACATCCACAGAAGTCACTGCCTGCCATATAACTGAGGGAATACGGCAGTATTTCAATGCCGACCCGGGACAGAAACGTCATCCTCAATTCTCCACATCCCGACCTTCCTCATAGCCTCCGCATCACCATCGGCCAGTTCCGGCGCGTGCAGCAATTTTCCGACCATGATCCAGGGATCTTTTGCACCCCCCTGTCGCAGAACTTCTTGCTTGTACCTTTCGCCGACGTTCCTGTTGAGAGGATCGGAGGCGAATAACTCGCGCCAAACGCGCGAGGCGATGGCTCGGTCGAACAGGTATGAGTAATACGTCGCACCGTAGCCGAAAAGGTGGCCGAACTGAGTTTGCCATGAGGTTCCTGGTACGTAAGGGATCAATCCCTGGTCATCGTATAATCTCGCCAAGGCTGCGGTAGAATCGAAATTTGGATTCAGGACGGCCGATGAATGATAGATCTGATCGAGAGCGGCAAGCATCATTTGAGTATGCGTGTCGATGGAACGGCAGGGGTCTTCATGGTGGTTACCAACTTGCGCGGTTAGAACGCCGTCATTCTTGTCGAAGAGACCCAGAACGGCCGAAGAATTGAGGAAATGTTCCATGAGAATGGACGGAAGCTCAACAAAATCTGTTGCACATCGCGTCCCTGAGACGTTCTGGTACTCCGTGCGTCCTATCATAGCTGAGATAGATGACATGAGAACACAGAAGAAACGAAACGGCAAAAGGACGTGACTCACAGTGCATAGCGTGGCCCATCTCGTGGAACAGAGTTAAAACCTCGTGCCATTCGAGAACGGTCGGTCCACGAGTTATCGAAGGCCGAGGGAACTCGCATAAGAGCACAACGACCGGAAGTTGGTATATACCCTCGTGGCCGCGTATTTGCCGTCGGTGCGCTGCTTCGAAATCGTCGGAGACCTTGCCGAGCAGATCCTCGCCGGGGCCAGCATGACTACTGACGCGATAATCACCAGCGAGGTCGTCATGGTCCACGCGCCGTGAGCAACGAACGGTGTAATGAGCAGCCCCACTGGCCTTTCCCCTCCGAGCGAAGAGGTCTGCATATATCCAACCTATCACACCGCATTCCTCGTCCAGTACCTCTAGTTTACGGACATCCGTATGCCAGACTTCGCCCGATGCGACATCAGCGGGTCGGAAGGTTATTCCATAGATGTGTTTGAATAGACGAGAAAGTCCCATGAATACGGTTCCCAGAGTAAGCGGCGGCAGCGGAATTGGGGGCGCCGGCGGTTCGGGAGGGCAATAGTAATCTCTGTCCCAAGCCTGGATGATCGGCTCCGGTCCTGTCCCATGATGCGCTTGCTTTCTGTGGCTCAGCATCCGGAGAGCACGCCTTGCGTACGGTTTCGTGTAATCCATCAGCGCGCTCAAGAAATGATGCACGTTCTCTGCGAGGAAACGAACATAAACCCCCGGAACACACGCCCGCATTGAGCAGCTCACCTGGACACTTAGCCATCTTGTCCGTCAGAGCCATATGCGCGAAACTGTCCTTCCCAACCAGCTGTGCAAGCTCCGCGCGCGCCCTGAGAAGTCGTTCAAGTATTTCAATCTGTTCCGGGGAGCTGGAGTTACTGGCGATATAAACCTTTCTCCGAGCCTCTTCTGAGGGAGCGGAGCGCATGATCATCTGCGCTTGCAGGGACCCCGGATAGACGAGTAGTTCGCGCCTGGTGAATTGTGCTTGTAGTTGAAGGCGTACGCCCATGCCCTTGTCCTTCAAGCCTTCCAACTCCGACCTTTCGATCCTCGCCGGAGGCTTGGCCGAGGTGGTTTCGTTGAGGAAGTGTCGGCCAAGTACCAAGATTTCTGAGGACAGAGAGACGAAACGATTTCGTTGTTCTGGGGGCAGATTTATGCCAGACTTTTCAAAGTCGCGCCAGAATATGAGGGCGGTTTGCCGAGCTTCTTCACTAAGTGTCGAAACGATCGAGGCGTCGTTTAGAGTGGCTTTCAAGACCTGCTTCCGATGAGCGTACGGATCAAGAGTCGGCGCAGCGACATACTTCGTAGAGGCCGACGTCCGTATTGAGCACGTTCATGAACTCGCATAACCTCTCATACACGTCATTGGCGGTGTTTATCCACAGCGCATCCGGATGCGCGTTACGGACAAGCTCTGCGAGGTCAATGACCCCGCACAGCAGGTCGCTGAGGCGGTCCAGGTTCTTGACAACTTTGAGGAGTTCATCTCTGGACTCTCGGGCACGAAGGATGCGGTCCGTGAGTAGCCGTGCTCTATGGAGGGTCGCGTCCGCAAGAGCATGGAAGCCCGCTGGCGATTGCAGGACGGAGTGACCGAATATGCCCGTGTGAGCGCGGGAAGAGAGGCGAGGCAGCGGAGGAGGCTGGTCGAACAGCGTTACGAGCGCAAGATCGTCGTTGGTGGGTGGAGCGGCCGCGGCGGATAGGGTGCGCGCTGATGGCGGAGGTGGTGCATGGAGGCAGCCCTTGAACCTGAAGACTGGCCGGGACTTGCTCAGAGCATCGGTGGCCGCTCTCGCCAGCATCGGTGACGGCGCAAACCTCGGTGGCGTTGCCGCGTCTTTCTCTAATCGACTCAAGCTGCATCCTCCAATCAGCGCTGACGCCGATGAAACTCGACATCGACAGTTCCGTCCTGCATTTTATTGCCGCGCCCGTTGTTCCACCATGACCTATCTACCTACCATGAGTCGAATGACATACGCCACTATATTTACGAATAAGGTTCTGGCAATAGTTGGTACAGCAAGGCAGCTGACACCGGCACCTTGGGTATTTCTAGCATATATATAAGCTGCAGCTGCAATTGATCCCATAGATTGCTCTACCATCAATGACACACCGGACAGTCAAACGGTAGATTAAGTTATGGTCAATGTATGGATAGTATATGCGATGATGTATGTGGTATACCCTGTAGGTCGCTCTCGAATGTAAAGAACTGCCGAATACGATGTTTGTAAGATATGTGCCGATACCTAACCCGAATCATGATCCATCCATATCTAAGGATAGTGAAATGCTGCTATCTTGCGGGCTTTGCTTCACGTGTCCATTCCCGCCCTCGCCGTATCCGCTCGAGGAATCGGCGTCGTTCGATGAAGTCGGAGGTCCTGGCTCCGACTGGTCGATAGTGGCTCCAGGAACTGGCTCAACAGCGTAAAACCAGTATTTGCTTTTTTTCTTTGTTCCCACCTGATCCACAGCAGTCTCCGTCGGTTTGAGCACCGCCGCACCCTGTCGCTGGTTTCGGGTTTCTGCAGCCACAGATACGGCCGAACCGCCATCGCTGGCGCTACTGTCATGGGTTCGTGCACGTTTTGGTGCAGGGCCCTCGCCCCGTGTTTCAGGAGGAGCGCCTAGTCGTGCCGAGCGTCTCTCTCCGCGCCAGTCAGACCAATCATCGACATCTTGGCGATAGCCATTTGTGACGGTCCGGGTAGAGCGGCGCCTTCCGTTCCCATTGCGACGACCATTACTAGGTCCTCCATCTTCGACGACTGAATCATAATCGTCGTCGTCGTGTTCTTCTTTGTACTGGTAGTCTTCCTCCATATCGTCCTGCAATCTTTATTCCAGAAAAGGGACGGAAGAAATGAACCATCACACACGTCACTGTCAGGGTCTTCATGCTGGTAAACGTAGTCAGGTCGACGTGTCTGTCGACGTGTCCTTGTTTCACGAATCTCCGCTTGAGCCATGAGGATTTGACGTTGCTGAATTTTCTTCCGGACACGTGCCACGCGCTACCAGAGGAATCGTTAGCAACAGTCATAAAAATGGAATACGGCCCAACAATATCATGCCGAACGCATGTCTCATGTATCTGGGCGAGAAGAAGCACGGAACCGCCGCACACTCACCGCCAGCTCTGCGTCGATCTTTTCAACCCGCTCTTCGAGAGCAAGAACCAGAGCTGCGTGTGCAACTTCGAGGCGCTTCTTCACACTCTGAGGCGCCATTTGTTTCAACTTCTCAATCGCAGCCATGTATTCTTCTCGGCTGGATGATACGACCTCAAACCCCGCCGTGATCTTCCACGGATTCGTTGATGCCCATACACGTGGAGAATCTGCGGGTTTGGAGCGGTAAGTGCGTGGCGTGGACATGAGGTTGGTGCGGCGGACCCCCAAAGAGACAGAAATGACCCGGTGGTGGGAGCACATGGCGGATTATTAACAACGGACAACACGTACCGTCCGCAATCCAATATCGTTTACGCGTGATGTCCTGGCCTACGGGCAGCAGTTGCAGGTTTTCCCGTGAGTGAGGGTCGCTGGGGTCGGGTAGGGGTGGCGCTGACGACGGTTCCTTTCTTTTGTGCTTGTTGTGGACGACGCCCCACGCGCTATCGATGATGCCCTTGATTTCTGTGCCGTGAGTTAACTGAAGCTCAACTAGCTGTCGCAGGATCTTGAGCTGCAGCACGTAAGTTATTGTAGGGCATGAATAATGTACAAACGAACCTTTAGATCCCAGTCCGCAGAGAAGAATCCCCCGGGTAAGTTCAAGAAGGGGTCCACATTGGCATGCAAGCTCTCGTCCCAGAAAACAGTCCTCTCCGAGGTTTTGAAATATTCGCCCAGTACGGCGGCCACCGTGCTGGAGATCTGATCCGTGCTGTAATGATTGACGATGACCGTAAATATGATGATCAGTATGGAACCGTGCTAGGACACGAGCTCACCTCAAATTACGCGTCTGCGGACGCAGGTTGGTGACAAAACGCGAAAGAATCTGAGTCATGACATTGGTGGCTTCAGGCGACAGCAGCGCATCCTCGAAGCTGACGACAATGAACGCGACGCCCCTTCAGCCTTGGACCATGAAGTCGGATAAAAGAGGGCCGGCGTACTCCTGAGGTGATTCCAAACCCTCAACCTTCGCCTTCAAGGGTGTAAACTTGCATATGAATGCGTATACGAATAAGGTTTCCCAGCGACCCGACGGATGCGTGGCGTTGGACGGCGGACAAACATGGCCTTTCTTGTCTGGTTTCAGGACTGTCGGGGCTACAGGCGCTTTCATCGCAGCGCCAGCAAGCGAGCCTTGTTGAGGGTAGGAGCAAAGAAGCACTCTGATTGGACTTCGTCATGTCTATTTGAACTCCCGAGATTGGAGATTACACGAATGATTCGCACGTTTTCCAAGCTATCATACAAGGAGCATTCGCAAAATACATGACAGCCCCAAGGCGACGAACACGAGGACCAAGGACCGCCTGGAAGTAGTGTACTGTACCCTGCAAGCAAATGCCGCCACCCACGCAACAACAAGCTGATTCGAGAACACCCGCTCGGTGTTATCCTGGCCCAACCTGCGAGAGTGGTGAGTGAGGTGGCGAGAATCCGAGAGGATGGGATTACTTTGGGGATGTCATGGTGCTCGCTCAGGGCCTCTAGTTTGGCGTTGAACTCGTTAACTCGGTCCTTGTGAGTTTTGTTGGCGAGCTTAGCCACACGAGTAGCCATCTTAAAGCTGTATGAGCCTCACTCAATGGTTCATACGTGAATCCCACTCACCCGTTGGCGCTGGATAGCTTCGAATCGTTTCTCGGCTTCGGTTTTCTTCTCATTGCTACCGGAAACCGCTGGAAGGTCCTTGTTGCTGCCTGAGGGAGTTCCTGAACGACTCCGTTCCTCCTCTTTGCGCAGCGTATCTTCCGCTCTTTCCCGTTCGCGTTCTTTCTCGACTTTGGAATGGGACTTCCCTTTCTTCTTTCTAGGATATCGTCAGCGGTGCTCATTCGTCATGAGGATCGAGGACACACTTCTTCACAATACCCCCCTCAGTGACACCACCCTTCAACTTCAACGACCCCCCGGGGCGGAAGTCATAGTCGGACATGCGGAGGACATGCAAAGTCGGGAAGCAAGGCGGGGGTAGTCACGTGTATCATTCATTGCACCGAGCGTCGCTGTCTGAGTGCGCGCGTCCAACTCGAGCTCCTCTGGAGCTTCACGCAAGGTAATACTACCAGGCATTTACAACTGAAGAGATGGTTGTTCTGTCTTCTCCTGTCCACTACATTGTCTCCACGCCGCCCGTCACGCGTGCCTGGACTGCTGGGACTGTGTTTTTATCACTGCTGTACTTCTGGATTCGCTACGGTCGCGGTGGGACCACTCCTTACCTCACCCTGATACCTGGTCAAAGTCTTTTCTATCCATGGACCCTCGTGACATCTGGCCTAGTGGAAACAACCGTCATAGAGGTATGCAAGACATTGACTCCTGCTGTCCCGCGAGCTCATCGCAAACAACCGTAGCTGCTAGTAACGATACTCGTCATACCACCTTCTCTGCGATACTTAGAGAGATTGTGGGGAGCAATTGAAACCGCCAAATTTATCGTCGTCACACTTGCCATATCGAATGTGATTGCCCTTGCATTCAACTGGATCGAATATATTGTCCTTCGGAGCCCCACATTTTTGTGAGCCTAACCTCGCATAATCATCAAGATTGCCGCGCTGACCTACTCATGGGTTCGGGATGGAATATCATGGTCAAATGGCGCTCCAAACCGGAATACTTGTGGCATTCACGCAACTCATTCCTGAGCATCAGGTTCAGGTGTTTGGCATCCTCAAAGCGCGGGTCAAGGTATTGTCGCCAATATGATCGTTTTGCAGTCCTTGATGCTTGTCAGGCACTTCCCATGGCCTATCTTACGTTCTCAACAGTTATGGGTTTAGTGGGCTTTCAATGTCCATTCATCATCATACAATTCGCGTGGTGAGTCAAATCGTCGTGCCTGGATGAACCTCTGTTCACCCTCAACTCAGGCTTGTATCCTGGATTTACCTCCGGTTCTACAAGAAGAACACGGGGGACACCGTAGACGGAGGGCCTGTTTATGGTGATCGAAGCGAGACCTTTGCGTTCATCCAATGGTTTCCGCCCTTCGTCCAGTGGGTCTTGTATCGAAGATCGTGAACTTATCGCTAATATGTCGCAGTGCCCCGATCTCTGTCCTCTCTAATACAGCCCACCATCTTGCCAACCGCTTCCATCTAATCCCGGGCGCCACCTTGGACGTTGAAGCTGGTGCATATGCCCAGCTTCCGGGCGGTGCCAGGGCAGAAGCGGAGCGAAGAAGGTCAGTCTCCCCCGCCAGCCGTTAGAGGATGGCAGGACGTAACTGGTGTGCTGTAGGGCAATGGCCTTGAAAGCGCTTGATCAACGACTCGCAAACTCACATCAAGCTGCTCAACCCGTCGTGCCTGCTTCCTCGTCCTCTGATGCGGCGAATCCGCAAGAAAGTAGCGAGAACGGGTCTATTCAAAAGGTATAAGCATGATGTGTTGAGGATTGAATTATCGATGGTCCAGTATACGGTACTTATACTTTCGATATAATGTGCGAATCGTCGCGACGTCGGATAACCTTAACCCTAAGCCAACGTCGACTGCTGGAGAACGTGGTGTCGTATGTAACCTTTCTTGCGATGTCTCCACGGCCTTCAACATCCTCAGTCGCGCTTCAGAGCACTACCAGCTCGCCCAGTGCCAATGTTGCGTCCTCCTCAACTGTGCTGTCCGCAGCGAGGGCGCAGCGCAAGACTGGGCCCACTTGGCCACCCCAAAGCTTCTCGGTCTCGGAGGATGTTGACCATTCCGAACCGGCTGTGACACCAGATGAACTGTTTGTTAGACACACCGTGGCGGAAGTGAGAACGATACAAGAGAAATTGAAGTACGTACCTTAAGGCAATGATTCAACCGTCCATTCAAGTCAGATTCCCAGAGCCGATGCCAATGCAAAGCAGTCCGAGCTTCGGCTCATGGTAGGGTCCGTGATGCTACAGTCTCGCCAAATTCAACTTCGATTCTCATAGTTCGCCTTGAAAGAATAGGGAAAGATACCGCGACTTGCTACAGGCATCGGCATCCATCATCGCGATCGCGGAATCATCCAGACGTGTTCAACGCTCACTCGTAGAAATGAAAGAAGTAGTATCAAATCCAAATATCCTCCGACAAGCGAGTCTCAACCTTCCCGCGGGGGGAGATGGTACGGTTTCACCGTTTGCATGCGCGCCCTGCGTTGCTAATACGCTTAGATGTTCGAGTTGACTCGCTCCAGTCATTGGCAGCTCATGTCAAGCTGCTACTGGACTCCCCAGAGCACCTGTGGCGGTTGATCGAGTCCAAAAAGTACTTCCAAGCTACTTGGCTCTTTCTCCTTGCCCGGGTGGCGTATCGGGGGTTGTCTACCGACGACATGGAAGAAGAAGGCTGGCCAGACACCGATGTCATGGTTGGAGAAGTTCATACACTATTTTCTGTTCCATGCTGACCGATGAGTAGGAGCAGTTTCCCCTGATCAAGCGGCAATGGGAAACTATAGCACATTTCCGTTCACAGATCGGACATAGGGCCGCTCTTTCGCTAAGGGAATGCAATTTAACGATTGAGGTGCGTCACATAATCTTCATCAATACGCAAGGCCTAAAGAGGTTGTGTAGGCCGTGTGCTCGGTCGTCTTAGCGCTACACCTCCTTGACTCAAAACCTTTGACAGAAACTATCTCAGTTCTGCTCACACAGCGCTCGAAAGCGGCCCAAGCAATGCTGGCATCCACGGCCCATAAAGCCAGCTTTCCGTCGTCACGTCAACCAGGCCACGGCAATTCGGACAAGCTCATCCCGAATGGCATTTCCCCGCAGAAATCAAGGAAGAAGATCTTTAGAGAGATTCGCCAAGCCATCGAACGCGCATTCGCACTTATGTCGATGACTGTTGGCTGTGCGAGAGGTGTATTCGCTGATGGACCCGATCAACACCCGTCACTTGTCCGACAGGTCCTTGATTACGTGCAGGCTGACTCGTCGAGTCCATATTGTGATCGAATACCTGAAGAGTTACGTTTAAACACCCCAAAACTTCTATCAACACTTCCTTCTCCCACCCAATCTCAGCTTTTACCACAGAATCTCCGGAGATACAGACCTTATATCGACTTACATTCACCGACCACTGTTGTCACAGGCGGCGAACTCGCGGACAAGATTGATGCATGGTTCCAGAGGACACTGGGCGCCGTGAACGAGGCTTTGAGCCGCTGGGTTACAGAACTTGACAGCGTCAGGCAATTGTGGGCACTACGACGTGCACTGAGAATGTGGCTTGAAGCGGATGAAGTGCTGGAGGAGACCGAAAGGCGACGATTACGGTCAATGTTAGACGGCGTTTGTTGTGCACATGCGTCCTCGATATGGTCGAAATCATTAGCTTCATCTGCGTCATTGTTTCGAAAACAGTTACAGCGGGCTTTGGAAGACTCAGGTGTGTTTGCAGTTACAGCTTGGTCTAGTTCGACTCATTGAGCATATAATAGACCGTAATAACGAGAGCTCGCAAGCCTCTTTGTATACGCACGATGCCTCGGAGTTTCCCGCGGATTCTTTCCATGAACGGTATAGAGTTGCTCTGAAGCATCAAGTCGCAGGGCGGTCAGCTCCAGTGGCTCGCATATTGATTGTTGTGGAGGATTCAGTTAGAGAGATACGGACAGGATTGGATTATCTGAACGGTGCTGATCAAGAGACCAGGTAAATAACCCCATTTTTGCGATGGAGCAAGCGTTCAACGGACTTGCCAGAGAATTGGTCAATACGATGAAACGGTTATATGAGCCCGAGGCAGATCAACTATATACAGTTATATTGGGGGCGATGATTGATGCTTTCAGTGATGCCACTGCGATTCCAGGTCTGCCGCGCTCCCTCAGGGTGATCTACCTCCTAACAACGGCAGCTAGGCCATGGCATCGAGCGAATGCTTCTCATCGGTCGTGTGGCGAACGATCTCGCGGAGTCCCCTGTCTTTGTGCCTTCGCTAGGTGGTAGTCAGCGTGCTCAGTCAGGTACAACTTCCGGTACCTAATTACTCAGCAATGCGCTAATCGTGTGTCCAATAGCATTTCGGGAGAAGGCCCAAGGACTGTACCAGCGCACACTCGATCAGTGGCGTCATGACACAGTACTTAACGCAGCTCTACTATATCATGAGCGTGTCGCTCGGTGTGGTGGCGGCACAACTGAAACCGGTGTGTGGATGCTATAGCCTGACACCTTGCCCCGTACTTAGCTACGACAGGGCCGGCGCAACCTTCGGCTGCGTTGCTGGACTGCTTCAAGACTCTGTCGACATCGATTCACGAATTAGGTCTCTCTAAGTCGCACAGGCGGCGGACCGTCGTCGCACAGCAAACTTTGCGTGATTTCTGCACGCGTCTGCTAGAACCCAAAGCGAGTGCAAAGGATTGCGCGCGTAGATGCTGGGATTTGAGCTTCGTTGATCATCTGGTGAAACTTGCCATAGCGGAGGATGACCGTGGCGAGCTATCCAAGGGCTTGCGGGACCGGATCTCAGAGCTGCGGAACCAGGTGCGTCGAACATTTTGTAGGAAGAGCACCTTCGATGACTATCCCACTTCAGCTGAGCCATGATGCTATCACCGCAGCAGATGCAGACAAGCACTTGTCTGAGCACTTCGTGCGAAGCCAGGTGCTCCTCGAGCCCTTCATGCCTCCAGATGCGAAGGAAACAAGTTTACTAAAATCAACCGGGTTGGAGACGCGGTTACTCCCTCCAGTCGAATTGATCAAACCCGCAGCTCGTTTTGGGCTGCTTCTAATACCAGATTCAACTACTGCTTAGGTACATGCCGTGTGTTTGTGGATAAACCTGTGTCAGTGCCATTCGATCGCCCGAGAAAGCTCATGTTTTCCCCAGGGTAGGTTCAAGCTTGCTTCGACCGTGACCACATCGGAGTTTGGTAACTTGCATATCTTTGAACACAGGCAAGAACGAACGGGCAACGGATTCCACAATCAGAATAAATAAGCACGGTGTGCAGCTCGGGTGTACCCAACAACAAGCAAGCGGAAGTGTCTATGCGCCTCCCCTAAGAACGGATGAGTGTCGTTTGTTAGTCGCAGATTGCAGCAGGACAAACACTAGGATGTTGTTTCTGTAGTGCACGGACGTGCTGTGAGTGACTAAACTGCCAGCAGAGATTCGGGCTCACATGGGAATATGAATTAGCTTCACAAAATATCCGATGAAGCCCATGATAGAAAATCCAATGGCAACGGCTTTGCATATTTGGGTGAACTCTGTGCTGATCAGCAATGCTTGATGATGTTGAGATGGCATTGCGCGTACCCTTGCGCGAAGGCTTCGTGCACCGTGTCATGAACTGCAACGTAGAAATTCAGTCACAAAGAAGCAGAAACATGCACGGTAGCTGACTTGTCTTCCATCCTGAACAAATTGCTGGGGGACCTCGAGATATTCGCGCAGTTTCTCGGACATTGTGGGACAAGGGAAGGTGAAGCTAGGAGGGCGCTGGCGGTGGTCGACGTGGAAGGGCTTTGGTGGCTGTGCCCGATTTCCGACCTCTTGTTCAAGCGCTGGTTAGTCCGAGACGGAAGTCGTCTTATAGAGGCGGATGCTGATATAGTTCCTAGGCTTATGTACCGACGCACATGGCGACTTACCTCTGTCTGTCGACGTTCACGGAAGCCGTGCATTGCCGTCCCTCCCCACCTCAGGTCACTCACCACCAGGGCCACGGATGTTCCGGGCCTCGTCCGCAACTTCGACTCTGCCGTATGGACTCGTCAAATTGAAGACATACACAAGCATTATTCCGAAATCCGTGCTTTGCTCGTTGAAGACGGTTCTGATGTTGATAGACCCTTGCTTAGTCCGGATCAACTTCATGACACCTTGCGTGCACTGGCGAGCTCTGGCCGAGCCTCCGACATCGAGCTCTTGACCCTCATCGTGTCGGACATGCGACCATTCTTCAATCATGATGTTAATCAGGGAACCATTTCATCCATTGTTCACTCCTTCTGCAAGTCAGGACATTTCCGACAAGCCTGGCATTGGCTGCGTACTATGCATGAAGATGACCATCGCTGCACTCCCTCCCTCGATCAATGGCATACGCTCCTGATGTGCTGTGCAGACGCTAGGGCCGATACAAAATTGATGCACAGCATAATTCGCGACATGGCATCCATCCGACGACCGCCCTCAAACTTAACTTATCGCATCCTCATACATGCCATGATGAAGACCAACCCACGCGTACGGGAGATTTCGGAGCTCATCTCGGAAATGCGAGAGGCTGGACTGACATACGACTCCCTGACACTGAGTGCCCTCTATGACGAGTACATGGAGCTGGGTTTGCCGTCCTCGGCAGGAGAGATTGAACGCATTTATAGGGATGCTTTCGATCTACCGGATGAGATCGACACGGATCCTTCAGCGCGAACCATTGATCAGATCGCAGCAAGAGCTGCACGACGGAACATACAAGCTGCAATTGCATTCGCAAGTTCCACGCCCGATTTCAAGCCTTCATTGAAGACGCTACTCGCGGTGCTCTCGCGCTCCCCAACCGTACGCGATCTGACTCGCCTGGAGAAGGCTTGGGAAATAGAGGGCGGCGCACGAGCTTGGTCCTTCCTGATAAAGGTCGCTATATCCAAAGGCGACATTCGTGGGGCACAAGCCATCTATGACCAGTCAAAAAGTCGTGGTGTCGTGCCAGACGTCAGGATGGTACACCAGCTGATACGGGCCATTTCGTCTGCCCATTTGATGCGTCCCTCCGACTCATCTCTGAGGGATGTGTTCGCCCTTTACAAGGATTTGGCGCATGCGCATCCTCCTGGAGGCCCGCCGTCGCCGCACGGTCCAGACGCCGCCATTTACAACGACCTGCTGAGGGCTATCGCCTCGTCTTCGGATCCTCAGCAGTACTTTGCCACTGCTGTGTCCCTGGTCAAAGACATGCACCTCAGGCGGGTACCCCTGGACAGTATGACGCTCGCACAGCTCACAGTGGTTTTTATGCGGGTCGCATCAGACTTCGAGGATGCTTTCGAAATCTACCGGTTCATGAGGACATCTCCCACAGCGTCCTTCGATGCCCGTGGGTTCCTGGATGTTCTATCCGCTTTCTGCCGGCTCCCTTTTGGAATTCAGCCGCCATCTCTATCCCACTATTTTGACATGGTACAAGACATGATCCAGGACGGCCACGAAATCATCCCGCAAGTTTACTCTTTCCCGCTTGTTCGGATAGCACAACTTGCTACGCGCGTTCGAAAAACGCCACAACGCGAGGATGAACTCCACGCCCTGGGGGCCCTGCGACATGCATTGCGGCAAACGCACCAACACCTCACGCTCGATGCGTCGGTTACCCCCGACATCGCCCTCTGGAACCAATTGATGGACGCGTACCAGAAAGTTGGCAACATCACTGATGCGTACAACGTTTGGGAAATGATGTACCTTCGTGGATCGATCGACAGCTCAAGCGTGAGCATCATCATGGATGCGTGCGGATTCGGTAACCGTGGCCAGCTTGCGAAAACCATCTGGGAAGGGTTACGGTCGCATCGTTTCCCTCTCAATGTTCGCAACTGGAACGCGTACATTGAATGCCTCTGCAGGTGTGGATGGCTCGACGAAGCTATCACTGCCTTCTGCGTAGAAATGGCCGGTGAAGGTTCAACTGCGGAACCGGACGTCGAGACCGCCGATGCGCTGTTAAAGTTCGCCCGTGCTTCTGGCCGTGGAGAAGAAATACTGGATAGGATTAGGAATTATCTACCACAATTATGGACAACACTCCCTGAACGTATGAAATCTACTGCCACGGACTGGAAAGGGACGAAACAGCAGACAGAAATGCGATGACGATGATGGTACAATGCGTATGGTTGAACAATCCGCGAGCAGGAACTCTCTAGGTGAATAGAAAGCTGTAATATTCGACTCTAATTCTCGGAGGATCGTGGCGAGGCTGATGCGGTCTCTTCAACTGACGGGCAGTCACACTGCGAAAACAGTTAGTATTCGATGGCAGTGCAGTGCATGCTGAACTGACAATCAAGTTCAAGTCTCCGTAGGCTGAAACGCGCGTCTATCAGCCTGTACAATGTTAACCTAAGATTATAGCAACTCACCATCCTCAATGCGAGAGACGGTGGGCCAGAACTTGCGTTCAAGCAAGTAAGGAATTGGATAAGCAGCGGTGACGCGCGAATAGGGTCTAAGGCATGGATGTCAGCGTGGAGGGTTGACAGACATTTCAGCGCTGCATCACCTCTTCCATTCATCATCCGGAACTGCAACTACCGAAGCGGGATGAGGCGCATTCTTCAGGACGTTGTTATCCCTGGGCTGCTTTCCAGAAATGATGCCATCCACTTCTTGGCGAATTTGGATCATCGCATCGCAGAACCTGCAACGCATCATCATCTGGGATGCAACAGCGATCAACGTTACCGCATACCTATCAATTTCCTCAAGGGTTTCGGACTCAGTGGGCTCGATGAGCATGCAGGTGGAAATAGGCCAGGAACAGGTTGGAGGGTGGAAGCCGTAATCCTACCCAATCACACGGGATCAGACTCGTTCTGTAGTTCAAGGACCGGTATCATACCTGCAGCCGTTTCGCGAAGTCCATCACCTTGAGCCCAGCACTCTTCTCGAACTCCGCGAGATCGATGAGCAGCTCGTGAGCTACCCGGCCATTGACGTTCTTGTAGCGTACATTGTAATGCTGCGACAGCCGACTTGCCATGTAGTTTGCGTTCAGCAACGCTACTTTCGAGGCATGGGAGAGGCCATTCCCTCCTAGCATCTTGATATACGCCCAAGATATCAGAAGGATAGAGGCGCTGCCATACGGTGCACCGGCAACTGCGTCGATTGCCTGTGGTCCTCCGGTAGCAAACACGGGGTGCGTTGGTAAAAAGGGTGCAAGGTGCTCCGCCACACAGATGGGTCTACAGTACAGTTAGCAGAGCAAACACTCGGGTGGTTGATGGTCGACAGTCAACTCACCCAACTCCAGGACCGCCGCCGCCATGGGGGCTGACATAGTAATCAGTTTCTTGGTCAGAAACGATAGGGTGTGCTGCTCACATCGCGAACGTTTTGTGCAAGTTCAGGTGGCACACGTCGCCGCCGCAGGTTGCTGGATTGGTCAGACCAACTTGTGCATTCAGATTTGCGCCTTCATGAGTGTAAGATACGTTTAGTCGTCGGCCTCTACGGTACCCGACTCACCATCGAGGTACACTTGGCCTCCGTTTTCGTGGATGATATTGCAAGCATCTCGGACGCCATCTTCGAACACGCCAAAAGTAGACGGGTAAGTGATCTTATGAACGGTGTCAATAGGTCGTTCAGTGATGTGCCAATGACGCTAACCATGAAAGCGGCGAGGTTGTCCTTATGCTGCTCAGCCTTTGCTTTCAGATCAGAGAGATCGAGGCTTCCATCGGAGAGGCTTTTGACCGGAACGACTTTCAGTCCTGCCATGACGGCAGACTGGAACAAAATCAACCATCTCCATAAATGGCTGGTAGCTGCATAAACTCACAGCAGGGTTCGTGCCGTGAGCGCTGACGGGGATGAGGCAGATATTGCGGTGACCCTGCCCGCGAGATTCGTGGTACGCGCGAATCACGCTCAAACCAGCATATTCACCCGCAGCACCGGAGTTCGGCTGAAGCGAACAAGCATGGAAACCGGTAATCTGACAAAGATCTGCCTCAAGTTCCTGGTTCGGTGATGCATGAGTTTCCAGCAAAGCTTGACGGTGAAACTATGGCTCATACCTTGATGACCTGCAAATAACCTTGAACCTGTTCCGCTGGGGCGAAAGGATGTACGTTGCTGAACTCGGGCCAGGTGATAGGAACCATGCTGGTCGTACTGTTGAGCTTCATTGTGCAGCTACCGAGAGGAATCATCGTATGAACGAGCGAAAGATCCTTGGATTGCAGGTGATGGATGTAACGCAGCATTTCGGTCTCGGAATGATGTTTATTGAAAACCGGATGAGACAGGAAGCCGGACTGCCGAAGGAGCACCTCGGGAACGGATACGGCCTTGACGGCACCGAGCTCGGAAACGCGAACGGGGGGTTTGTTGGCAGCCGAAGCGAAAACGTTAATGGCATCAATGAGATCCTCGACTCCAACGCTCTCGTCAAAGGTGATGCCGACGGTGGAAGCGTTGATATGCCGAAGATTGATGCCAGCAGCCTGAGATGCTTCATGCACGACACTCGCAGATGCCGCTGCTCCAGCAACCTCTACTGTCAGAGTATCGAAGAACGACTGATTACGGACGGAGTAACCAAGACGCTCGAGATTGGCCTTGAGGATACATGTGAGTCCGTGCACTTTGTTGGCGATGTGGCGTAATCCGATAGGCCCGTGATAAACGGCATACATGGCGGCCATGTTAGCAAGGAGAGCTTGACTAGTGCAGATATTGCTTGTAGCCTTCTCTCGGCGGATGTGCTGTTCACGAGCTACGCAACGTCAGCAAAATCGACCTTCAATATCGTACATAATAACCTACTTTGCAATGCGAGCCTGTACGCAGGTTTTCCAGTGACATCGCGGCTTCGGCCAACGAGCCTCCCGGGCATTTTGCGCTTCAGTTTGTCCGTGCACGCGAAGAATGCGGCATGCGGGCCACCATATCCAGCAGGAACACCAAATCGGGCTGAATTGCCCACCACGATGTCAGCGCCCCACTCTCCAGGCGGCTTGAGCATTGTCAAAGCAAGGAGATCCGTCGCGCACACCACCAATCCGTTGGAAGAATGGATAGCCTCCGCGAGTTTAGCGTAGTCGCGAATATCGCCGTCCACGTCGGGATACTGCACGAGAACACCGCAAGTTTCCGAAAGGAGAGACTCGTCGTTGGCGAGGGACTGTATGTTGCCAATCACAAGGCGAATGCCGAACCCCTTCGCCCGTGTGCGCAGAACAGCCTGGGTTTGAGGCGCTACAGCCTCGTCAACCAGAAAAGCCTTGCGTTTCTGGTTCGCCGAGGCAAAGGCCATGACCATACCCTCCGCAGCTGCTGTTGCTTCGTCCAACAAAGAGGCGTTTGCGATATCCATGGCGGTTAAAGACATGATCATTGTCTGAAAATTGACGAGGGATTCCAATCGACCTGGATGAATATGAGCCCAAGTCCATTCGGTATATACACGGGGGAACAAACCTTGAGCAATCTCCGGTTGATATGGTGTATATTGGGTGTACCAAGCGGGATTCTCCATGACCTGTGATGCACCACGTCAGTTATCGGAAGCCAATGGTGACGAGCAAGCGTACATTTCGCAGGATCACAGGCGGAACGACGGCGTTATGGTAGCCCATGCCGATATAGCTTCTGAAGCGCTTGTTCATCGCTCCGAGCTCGTGCGCGCGCTTTTGAAGCTGGGATTCACTGAGGGCCGGAATGGACGTATTGTCCAGGGCATGGGGAGACAAGCGTATGTGCGCCGGGACCGCCTCGGCTACGAACGAGTCGATGGACTCGCATCCAAGTTTGGAAAGCATGAGCCTGGCCTCATGGTCGTCGGGGCCGATGTGACGCTCCGCAAAGGTGTCCAAAGGGTCGAAGAGGTTGGAGGGGGTGGTCAGCCTCGCGAACGAGCGCCGTGTCAACGCCTTACGGGCCGCCGCCGGCTGGCCAGGGCGAGGGCATCGGACGAGAAGTGCACGGGACAGGGCCATGCGAGGAGGGAGAGGGCTGGCGGGGCGCCGTGGGGATGCAGCGGGATGGACTGAGACAGCGTCGGGGCCATCGCGCCCGGTTTTTCTGGTGGTACGGGTTCACCGAGTCGTCCACCGAGTCTTATCATCCGCAACCGTACCAACCACGAAATTCACCGCGTCTCATTCTCTACGTAACCGAGCCACACACCGTCATGACGCAAAAACTTTTTCACCCCGTCCTGCCTCGGCTCGGAGTCGGGAATCCGCGGCGCGCCCCCGTCGCTGCCCTTTCCGTACGTTTACACGCCTATTTACGCCCAACGGAGAAATCAAGGCATCAGGGCCAGAACATCAGAATACAGATAGCGGAACCCAGTCAGTTCCTCCGTATCGTCTCTACACCAAATCAGCGGCTGCTCGCTCGTGCAGCGGGAAGGTCACTCACCTGCAGTCCAGGACGCCGTCGGGACTTGGCAGACCGTACACTCCGTCCTGCTCGATGTTCTTCGCCACAACCGCCATAGCCGCCTCGGCACTGCTGACCCCGGCTTGGGCAATCAAGCTCTGGTAATGTTCGGCCACAGCCAAGACAGCGTCAGTGATTCGTGCCGAACGATTGGCATCTACCAGTGTCGATGACCGCTTGGAAGGTTGGAGAGTCAATGACGCTGTCATGTCCCTATGCTTCGTCAAGGCCGGCGTGTATCGGACGAGTTCATACTAGTAGTGTAGAATAAATGGGCACAATGCTGGGAAACAACGCATCCAACAAAAGAGACTCAACTATGAGCTCATGCATCGTATGAGTCGTGGGCAAGAAGGCTTCGGAGCGGCAAAGCAGCAAATACAGCAATTCCATAATCTAGGTGCAGCTGAGCAACTGTTGCATGACCTCACATTGTAGTACGCTCACCCTCTGCGACAAGCCCACGATGCCACGCGCACCAACGGTGAGGCTATCCACTTTGCTCGAAAGGAAGGTCAGGAGGCTAAGCAGGGAATTCCAGAACTCCTTCCAATGATATTCTGACAAATGCGGATCATCATGCCTTCATTCGTTCATGAGGTCAGAAGGACTCACGAGGCCTAGTACGCGTATTCTGGAGGTACCATATTATGCGATAGCATACATCTATGCACATACTACCAGGCACCAAATGAATAAAATCCGTGCAGCAGATATGTGTCGAGCTCACCTATAAATCACCACGTCCAAGCGTTTCCGCAAATTATGACGCAGCCACAGACTCGAGCAGTCCAACATAGCGCAGACCAACGGCCTCTTAACAGATGCTTGTGGCAGCCGCGGTTCCCTCTGCCGACAGAGTCGGATTGCGCTAGTGGATGGGCCGCAGAACAATCGCATTGTTTCAACGTCGCCTGACCAAGTGAACATGATGTTCATCGTAAGTTGAGCGTAGGCAAGGGCACGATCCGACATAGATGATGAAGCATGCGTGAGGACGTAAGAAGATAGGCTGAGGACAGTTTGCGGCAATGGAGCAATGCGGTTATCCGACGGCGCGTGAGTCACGACGAAAGACGAGAAAGAATGATTTTCACGGATCAAGTCGAGGAGCGCAAATGCTATCGCAGCTCCTTCGATGGGGCTACAGAACACATCTTGTGAGTATACTACCTCAGCTGGGGAGCCTATTACGCAACTGGTTCCTGAGTGCTCTGCGTGCAGAACCTGCTGTCGTCGGAGAAGGCGCACGGTCGAGTCGCATAGTAGCGAGGAACGTGCCTACTGAAGCAAGCATGGTCGGTGATTCGTCGGGGAGGATATCTTGATAGGCCCTGCAATATAGACCATTGATAAACCGCTCACAACGCAGCCAAGGAACTACCAGCTTACTTCACGGCTGCATTGAGGGCGAAGTTGGTGCTCCAATAAATCTTCTGCATGATTTCCGAGTCATCTAATTTCTTCAGCCTCTGCACATACGGGTTGAGCTTTGAAGCTTCTGGTTTGTGATAATTGCACAAAAGCGATAGAAGGAGGGTCGCTTCAAATGTAAATACGCTCGTCTCTGGTGTGGTGATTATCTGCTGGCATCGCTTGAAACACTTGCAACACGCACAGCTGGATGGCGAACCTTCATGATTGAGTCGCATAAATTCCTTCGTAGAAAATATGCTCCTGCTGGGGCATTAGGGACTTCGTTCTGATGTGGATGCTTTTCCACGCACCCGGACTGAGCTGATTGACTCCGCACATGAATATGAGAGACACCTGGAGTATTTGATGCCTGAGCGTAGCTTCATTGTCGTTATGAAGACCCGTCGGTAATCACGATAACGTAGCAAATGTCACCTGGAAAGATGGGGTCACCGAGGATATCATCGACTACAGCAGCAAAATCCTGAACACCGCCGCGAGTTCGCGTGAGGATGACATGGAGGAGTGAACGAGGGCGACGTACCATGAATACTCGATCACTGTCTGCGATCGTACCAGCCAATATCTCCATAACTTCCCATCCTGCCAGGCTCTTGCTCATGATGCAACGCAGGAATACTTGTAGAGTCAAGGTTGCCCCCAGTTTTCTCGGATCATCCGGTCTTCCTGTACGTAGCTGACGCAATGCAGACGAGAAGATAGAACTGAGGATAGGCTACTGAATGATCTAATTCACTGTTTGATTTGAACGGCACTGAATGGCCCCATACCTTGTATGATCCTAAGCACTGTTCGCTCGAGAGAGCACTAAAATGAGAGGACAATACAATCCTGTCGACGTCAAGGAGATACACATCAGCCCAGAACGCATTGGGATCACCGTTGGGATCCAGTTCTCCCGGTGTCAACCCCTACTCAAAGCGGTGTGAGTCCCTCGAAAAGCAAGGGTATGGCGCAAATCACTCACGCGAAACAGTTTCTCGTAAGTGGCCGCATATTTTGTGGGCAGCTGTTGTAAAGCATGCGAACTGCTGAACATATCACAAGTGTAGTACTTAAGCAAAGTAGACACGCGTTGTACTGAACACACTGAAGGTCACGCGGTGACGCGCGACGCGACGCGCCTTACTTGCGCTTGCGCCGTCATGTCGACTGAGTACGGCGCTACAAGCTACGCCGCAAGAACGTCTTCCTACGTGCAGTATCCCGCACGTCCAGTGCCTCCTCCCAAGGATGATTACGAGAGTAAGCATGCTTCGTCAGCTCGTATACCACCGATTGACCGCCTGCTTGTAGGATGGTACACCGAAGAGCGGCCGAACAACCGCATGCTCCTGTCTTTGCGCTCCGGCATTCCTACAGAAGTTCGATGGGCTCTGGATCGCCTCTGTCGTCTATCCCACAACGAAAAGTTCAGCTTAAGGTCCTATCCAGGCCTCACAGATGCTCTATTCGAGTGGCCAGAACGATTCATATCTGGATACGATGAGGATAAAGCGGACCTAGACAACCTGTTTGTGGCCTCGCAGGATCGCCAAGGTCTCCGGAGAAACGCTCTGGAATCTCTTTTCATTCTACGTAACGCCTCAGTCCACGAGGTTAACGCTCTGGAACTCCATGGTCACGCACATACCCGGCCTTTGCTTGCGCAGACCCTCCAAAAGATCAAGCCAACCTCAGATGTCGATGTCGAGTATCTCATTCATGCTATCGATATCCTCTATGCGATATTCACCGTCCCTTCCTCGCAACCCCCTTCACGGTCTCATAACTTCGGTCCCGCCATCCTCCACATCCTGCGCTACACCTCGCATCGGTCGCTGATAATAACCTGCTTGACCACCCTCGATATCATCATGTCCAACCACGGCAATTCTTTCCAAGTCTCTCCCGACTCACCTGCGTTGACGGCGGCCCTACACTATCTACCCCTTTTCTCAGACAAACCGTTATTAAACGCATCTCTGAACTATCTTTATGCTCATTTGTCATATTCATCAATGGTCAAGGCGTTTCTACTTCACCCTGGCATGCCTAGTGTGCTTAGGCTACTCGTGAGCCTACTCATATCCGAGCAAGCGGAGGAAACCGTGACGCACACCATAGGCGAGCCAGCAACCACCGTACCTGCCACTGTGGCGACAACCAAGGTTCACGAGCTAACCGAGGCCGAGTTCAATGAGCTACTTCCTAAACCAGAACCGCAACGTTGTTACGAGTGGTACGTTGCTGGGTGAACATCTTCAGATAACCACTTCTTACAACGTACACAGGATGAAGATTATGTTTGTGGCCAAATCAGACGGCGAACTCACGCAAGTGGATTTCTGGAATTTATACAAAGACGCCTTCATCCCGCATGCCGAGTCATATCCGCTTCTCGTGGCTTCCGATGTCATCAAGAACGTCAATGTCGTCTTCCCTCAAGCTCAAGCCATGGTTCTTCCCGGCCCGCCCCAGCGTTTTGTGGTCCGTGGTGTCGCCCGCCAGACGGAGGACGAGGATGTGCGGTTCAAATGCCTGTGGAATCGCTCGCAGTGCCCCGTCGAGACTTTCAATTCTCCTGGTGAACTATACGAACATCTACTAGAACATATCGCAACTGCCGACGAAGACGCGAGCTGCCAGTGGTCGAGTTGTGCTGTACAACTCCCACGACCCAATCTTCATACTCATGTCCTCACCCACGTACGAAGCTCACAGCCCCCTGCACGTCACCCGCTTCAAGGCGACTTCGTCACTCTCCCCACCCAAAGCGCAACGCACCCTATACCCGACCCCACCACTCGTCCACCGCCGCCCACACAGGCAGTTGTGAGCTACCGACAACCTATTGGGGAGCCACTCTCGACATCCCTGACGGCTCTGCTTTGCATTCGACTGCTCTATCATTCATCGTTCGCCTCTGTGGATGCGGCGCCACGGCTCGATGTTGATCATTTCGGATTCCCTGGCTTAGTCGAAGAAGACGACGGGGATCATACACAACGAGTAGTTGTGACGACTGAGAAGGAGTTGGAAGGAGAAATGCGTGGCCGGAGAGCTTTCGCGTCGACGAGAAATCTCTTGGAAGAAGTAAAACTGCGCGATGATACGATGATGGGTTGGATCAGAGAGATGCTCGACACCGATGTACTCGCGGTACACTGAGTGAAAAATGATGATCATGTGCTATCATGCGTGTGAACGATTGTCTTCACTGCGCATCCATCGAGAGTCTAACTGGGGAGACTATATTGTCCCAGCGTTCTCGTTCTACGCAGATGTGCAGATGTATTTGTATCCTCTACGATAAAGCAATTGGGCTGCGGCCACTAATCACCGCAATTTTGATGTAAGTAAGTATAGAACTTCATAAAGGAGACCTATTCGAACTACGTTGGCACTGTGAAACTCTGGCCGTGAATGAATATTGAAGCAGGCAGGATGGCAGATCTTGGGCGTCGCTGCAACCAATGTTGCCGTGCAAGCTGCGCCCATGCCCAGCTGGTGTGCGCAATCGATATGGCGCGACAGCCATCGCGACTGAGGACGAAATATTACAGATAATAAGATAGGGCTCATTCAGTTTCAACAGGTCCCACGGGTCTTGCTAGTCGAATAAAAAACGCTCAAAAATCACAGAAATCGCCGCCACAGATTTCAAGATAATGTGCATTCAAAGAGAATTGTGGTTTTAGATTTAGAGAGTGTGCCCCGTAGCGAGTGGAATTCGCTGCGCAGCACTTATCACGCCTGTTGAAACTGAATGAGCCCTATCTTATACCAGACTGCCAAGTCCACTAGGTAACGGTGTTCTCGCCCTACAATCCTGGACTTATTGATTACCATATAATGGGCATAGATTACTCCGAGTCAGCTCGTATAATAACCTTGTAAGTAATAACATTAAGTGTCTTAATCACTCCCTATATCTTCATTCGATAGGGAAAGTTAGCGCCTGGAGCAAGGGGAAGCGCTGATAGTAAGAATCAGATGTTGCGCTACCAACCAAAGCACCGTCAGTGAAACTCACATGATCTGTGAGGCCTACTTCAGTGTATACGGATCCCCTGATCTACTTTGCCAGGTACACTGCGAACTGAACTCACAACGATATGTCGTTGCCTCTAGAGATTTATGAACACATACTGAGTCAACTGCCCTCCCATCGATACACAGATATCTCCGTCAATACCATACTCAGCTTCTCTGAGGCTAGTTCTCTTCTTCGACAAGCTGCAATCCGGCCTTCGCTCTGGAAAGCGCATTATCAGGTTCGCTACACGCACTCGGATCCAGGCAGGGAAAGGCAACGGAAATATGAGGCCAACTGCAATTGGAGGACGATGTATGCTCTTCGTCGCCGTATAGACGAGATGACCATGGCTCGAGTAGAGGACATCACAGTGCAGCCCGCAAATCGAGGAGAACTGGGAAGAGCGCTGGTGCAAGACCTAGGTTACGACGCATGGGATGTAGTGCAGCTAGAGCTCGACTACTTCACAGCTGACAAGGCTACCGACCCGAGGAGGACACAGCGCTTTCTTCGGCGTTCCATCTCGCGTGCCTTCTGGCTTAAGAGTGTCCAAGGTGTTATCGCCCGCTACAATGCCATACGTACCTGGTCCCTACTACGTCAAGATCCCCCGGAGGTCCTTATGGAAGAAGCATTCCATGGGCTGTCAGGCTTCTTTGGCGTGTCCCATCAAGAGGTGGGCGTCATTATTGACCGCAAGCTTACGTGCCTGAATATTCTTGCAGTTGTCGAACAAACTCGATGACCTAGCCCGCGCTTGCCATCGCTACTTGACATCGAGGGACATAATCATCGAGACTCGCCGATCTACCAACGACATGCGGACAGTGTGCATTGCTATCTGTGCATTCATGCGCAAACAAGGCCTGGCCTCTGCGTCGGGTAAGCACAAAAGCCATGTTCCCCACTGCCGTTGTGATCCTAATGTCTTATCCACGCCAGATTTCCGTTTCCATGATCTATACAACCACTTTCCGCATTGGTTCTTGTCTCCATGCAGAGCCACAATACCCATCTCGCTGGTTTACGTCTTCGTGGCGCTAGCTCGAAGGCTCGGCTTCGAGGCCGTTCCTCTAGGACTTCCATTCCGAGTCCTCGCCCAGGTCCCGACTCCATCGGACGGACCATATGGGCTCATAGTTGATGTATACGGCAGCGAAACGAAGGCCATACTCTCCGCAGAAACCGATGTTCCTGAACTCTTATCGCGTGCCGGGGTGCGGATCACGCAAAGCGTAATCTCGCAAACGCTTCGACAGCCTGCAACCTCAGGCCAGATGCTCCTCCGCGCAGCCAGGAATATAATTGGATCATTTCATGCGTTCGCAGGGCCCACTGCAGAACAAATCTCGCCGATTTCCCAGTCATCCGCCGTCTACGCTGGGTTCGCCGCGAACTCGATGATGACACCGGAGGACGTACAGTATGCGGCACGGGTGGCAGCCGTTTCTAACTCATATCCACTGGATGCTTTGGCAGTCATGATGGACGTATTCGCACCGGCGCTTCATCCAGAACCGAGAGCTACGGTATCACGCATGGTCGAGCAGCAAGTAGAGGAGGATCGACGAGATTCGACGGCCGTGCGTCGCCGGAGCCGCTTGAATACCACAATCAAATACTTTGTGGGCGCAATGTTTCGGCATAACAAATACGAGTATGATGGTGTGATTGTCGGTTGGGACCCTGTCTGCGCCGAGTCTGAACAGTGGATGAATCAAATGAAAGTGGATGAACTCAACCGAGGACGGAGGCAACCCTTCTACCAGGCACTCGTGACCAACGGACCCAGTCGCTGTGAGTTATTTCATCACAACGTACTGCAATATCATTCCTTATTATAACATGGTCGTAGACGTCGCCGAAGAAAATATTGGATTAATTGACTTCCAAACGGATCGCGTTCAACGATTTCTGGACGGCACTCTTCGCTTAGGACAATTCTTCGACGATGTGGAGATAGACTCCAGTGCAAGAGGCAGATTTATTTCTAGTTTTGATTTACGTTCCGGGTATCCTGAAGACGAGACCGTGGCCGATATGTGGGTGAAGCAAGGCATCCTTCCCGATCCTGTCATCTCTGGTACCCCTCCGTAGCACATCGGCTAGAACGTTGTGGTTTCAGAAGGAATATAGCTGCGCGATAACGAACAGATTCGTACAGCCATGGTACCTTTCCATGTTCAACGGATATGATGTCCATGTGCTATAGTAATACAAGTCCATGCACGATGCTATTACACCTATCGAGAACTACCAAAGGGACATTACTACCCCAAGAATTCGTCCACCGCAAGAGTAAGAGTGTTCCAAAATCTAGCGATCTGCACCTCGTCAAACCCGTTCTCGTCGTACCCAAGACTGATCCAGAGCTTCGAGGCGAACGTGTACCCGAAAAGAAGCATCCCTCCTGGCCTTTGTCGTGATCCCGTTGTCAGAGTGTGGAGCTGCACATCCGGATAGGATACATGCTTATACATCCCGTCAAGATTTCCTAAGAGCGACAGGCCGATGAGAGCCACGGAGGGCACGATGGGCTGCTCTGATCTGGCAGCCTCGGGCTTTGGAGGCGGCGGAACCCAGACGCCACGCTCTTTTTCGTCGTCTTCTTTGCCCCACGCACGAGCCCTCGCGGCGCGCTCTGAGGCCATTTCCCGAGCGTGGACAGCGACCAGAGGACTTTTGGCGGCGCGGCTGCTCTGCTCTTTCGCAGCCCGTGCGCGATGCCAGAAGATCTTCTCAGCCTTGGACGACTTCGACAAGAAAGAAGGGAGGACCACGTTGAAGTAACCAACGGCAAGGAACCAGTACGACGCATGGCCGTTGGTTTCTCCGCAATACGGTCGCATGTTCAATGCGGAGTACATCATCCTTCGTGCCGAGTCAGCGGGAGTGACATTGCCCCGAAAACAGGGACGAACATGGGGAGATCATCCTTGCTGTCCTTCACTCTTGCCCAGGCGATGTTGCATAGAGCGAAAATGGCGGCAGAGATAGAGACACCGTTCGCCTTGCACTTCTTCAGCATAGATTGAGTTCGCACAGCGTCGAAGGAAACCGTTGGGACGATCGTGTGCCGAGTCTTCCCTCCTTTCCTTTTGAAGACATGCCCACCCTGCTCACCGAGTCAGCGGACGATATAGCGAAGAGGAAACATCCGTACAAACGACCTCCTCTGCTCGGCCTTGAATGTGAGCTTTGCTGCGACCTGTTGGAATTTTCCGTGTGTCTGCGGCAGCTTGTCTTCGAGAGGCACGGGTAGAGTGGCTGCCTATGAAACAATGGACTGGTCAGCGCTCACTCGGAGTAACGGGAGTCGCGAACATGTACGTTGTGGATCGGTGTATCCCATCTTGGTGGAGCCTCGTCGGAGAGTATTTGGATCAACGCTTCCTGCGTAAGTGGACCTCCGAGTATCGTGAAGAAATCGTTTGCGCATGTATGCAAAGCCATGCCGTCTCCAAGATAATGTGTAGCACACAGCAGAATTTCAAAGTCTTGCAAGCTTTCACGCTCCTCGTGAGGTGCGTCATCTGCGGGGGCGGACCTGGGAGCGCTCGGACGAGAGACGATGAGATATGATAACCTATTGCTCGACAGTGTCCGGGGCCCGTTGAGGTATGCGTCGATAAGCTCTGGAGAAGCCGTGTAAATGGCTTAACGGCGGAGTGAAAGCATGCAGAAGGCATACCATCTTTGCCTTGCGTCCGATACTCTAGATTGGCATCAGCATCACTGATACAATCTTCCACGGAAGCTGCAGGTGTATACCTATAACGAGGTAGTGAGCCTCATGTCGTTTCCAACAACCCGCACGCTGTTACTTACACAAATCTGACGTCGTCGTAGTCATGGAACTCGACCTCCGAAGCTAAGAGCGGATGCCTTTGCCGCAAGATGGCCCACACTGTACGGACTCGAGTCCGGTCCATCCTCTCCGCGGTCGTTCGTAAACCAAGGTGAAGATACCTGGACACCTCTCGATCGTTAGGTGACGCGGTACCTAGAACGCGAACGCAACTCACATGTCATTCACACCATCGGCGCGAGAGGGAAGGAAATAGGACAGTTCGCTGTCTCCCAAACGGCGCTCGTATCTCTTCACCGGAAAGCTCTCCGGCGACGTGAGCGGCGTGTCGAGGCCGTCACTACTCTTCCCGTCCACCGACAGACGAGAGCCATCGCTGTCTGATTTGGACAACGTAGACGGCGACGGGGGTGTATGCGATTGGAACAGAGCTGTGGCCATGACCTGCGTGTTGCGGCGATCATGGTGCCGGGCTGTCCTTGCATTATAAGTGGGATCGAACGCGCCCGCGTTGCATGCCCTTGCAAGGTTCCGGGTGATTCCACGATCTTACACCGCACTCGGCATGTGGATGTCGACGAGGGAAGATGAACGTTGAACCCAATCAAGCGATGTCACACTTGACATCGGGGGTCCCTTGAAAACTCCACTCGCGCAAAATCCGTCGGCGTTTGCGATTGCCTGGATCTATGGTGGAAGCGAGAAGGACGAGGTGCCGATGATACGAAGGGCAGGCCCGACTCGCCGATCGAGCTCGGTGGCGGTCGATCGTGATCTGCGTCTTATGCCCGGATAAGGTTCCGCATTTGAGCGCCGTTCAATGTCCAAAGGCCACCGTTGCTAGCACTTATCGAAGAAGCTTCGGAGGTGGTGAACCAGACTGGTGCCTCTGCCTTCGAACGGCAACCTGCCCACATATCGCGGGGAAAAGATACATCCAGATACAGTATGTAATACAAAGTACGGCCGTGCCTTATGCAAACATATTGTCCCAGGGTGGTTGTCATTCTCGCGGCAGTGCCGACATGGCACCGAAACGCCGCGTATTGCTCACTCGTCGTATTGGATTCAGTCCCTATCCGTGACATCCTTCTCGGGCGCAGAAAAGAGCACCACCGCCTCCTCTTCGTTGTGCTTTGGAGTGTTCATCGCTTCTAGGTCGACTGGACGCGAAGGTGGTTGCTGGCGACTCTCGGTCGATTTTATCCAAGTGTACCACCTACAAGGCTGTCAACGTGATATCCTGTTGATGTATGAGAGGAATCGATGGCTCACAGGGTACCCACAAGAATGGTCAAGATGGATGCCGCGCGGTTGCTAAAAATCGGGCTGTGTGTGAGCGCGCGGACTGAGGAGCGAGTAATCACCGCACATCGTAAGAATATCGTGGAAAATCAAAACGCCCAAGGCCGTCTGAAGCACCGATCTAGCCGCCTGGAGGTAACGTTCAATCGACCTCAGTCTAGCTCGACACCGCACGGCATGTGACGTGACATACGCTGCTGAACATATGGGACGTCGGTGAAGTAACCTACACCGACGTAGCACTGAGCAATCGATGCTTGACCGTTGGAGATAAATGACGAACCTTGATGCTTAGCAACCCGGCAACGCAGAGTAAGAATCCAAATAAACCTAGCGACGGACAGTTTCAGATCCTGTGCACGGAGTGAATGGAGATAAGACATACCGGTCACCAAACTGCCCCACACGAATGTATTCCCGTCCCAAGAAGGTGTCGCATACAGATCCACAACTTTGGTTATTTCACCATGGAAGATGACAAACGGTGCGAGCATGACGGCCGATCCTATGTTGGTCCAGTACGCCAACTGAATGGTCGAATTCTGGCAGTGAGGCAGAGACGACTTGATAAGGACTGCATGGATAGCGATCATCAAGGACGAGATGACGCCGTAAAATAGCGAAAGGCCGGAGGGCGTCGCATCCCTGGGAAGAGATCTCGTAGGCGTTATCCCGACGAAAAACCCGGCCGTAACAACACAAGCAGCCACAAGCACGCGCTTTGTCGGTATCTGATGGAGGTGCCAGGAAGAGACCAGAATGGTCAGCGGCAATTGCATACCTCTGGCAATCTGCAGGTCACGGTCATTAACAAGTGCCGTCTGCGATGGCGGGGACTGAATGCAGACGCGCCTGGAAAAACGAGGCTTCAACGTCCCGCAGGCAGAGAGTGTTGAAAACCAGTCCGATGGCGTTCACAGACACCACGGGAAGCAGTTTCTTCGCAACAGCCAAGTCCATCGCTGGAATCTCGACCTTTGACGTGACCAACGCTGTCGCGTGCAGGAGCAACACAGCCATGACAAGCTGAACGAAGAGGAACACCAGAGGAAGATCCGGAGACGATTTCAACACGGCTTTGTTTCTGAACAAGGCCGTGAGGAGGATCGGGTGCTGCAGGATGCTGCATAAGTACTTACACGAAGACCATCTGCATGACTAGCATTCAGGAATCGTAAACTAGGAAGGATGTACGGAGGACTGACCACCAGTGCCGCCGACATGTAGAACACGACGACTCCCGCGACTTGCAGCTGCATTCTGTTAGGGACGACCATCGTGAGGATCGAGCAGGCGTTGAGGAGCACGAAGGTGAGGGCCGATGTGTCTTGTATACCGTGATGCGATCGACCAGCGCGGGCAGGGTCTGCGGACGTGAGATGACATCGGGAGGATAGATTATTATGTATCCCGGGGCGAATTCAGAGTTCGATTGGTGCGCCTCGTGGTGGGCCGAGAATGACAGTGGCGATCGTGACACTGTGGAGGACCCCGGCTGGGCGCCCTGACCCTGAGCTGTCGAAGATCAACGCGCTATCGGTGTCGGTGAGAAAGGTGGATTTTCGTCGGACGCGGCGACCCAGGCACCCACCGTCGGGCCCAAGGCGGCCCAGGGCGGCCAACGCATCGGACACCAGGGGAGGTCGCAGGGGCTGTGCTGGCCCGCCGAAGCAGGGGTCCCATGGCTGAACGCGCTCCCAAATGAGAGGTGGACTCGCAAGCCGCTTGTTCTTCGCAGCGCGCACCCTTCCCACCGACGGCATCCATTGCCGCACCGGACGCGACGTCAACGTGCTCACAGCATGAGGCGCCTACATTTTGTGCGGTCTATGCCCGCACCCCATGGCCATCATCATCCGATCTCCCACATAACTTACCAGCTGCTCACCGCCGTCCGCGTACTCCGGCTCATCCGCGACTCTCGCAAACCACTGGCTCGTCATTATCTCTGCCTGCAACGACCCTCCGCACAATCCGAGTCACCAGCCAGGGATCGCATCCGAGTTCTTCCTCTGCCGTCCTCTCGACATGGCCCAGAAGGGACGCTTTGCCGCGCTCTTGATGCATGGGCGCAGCCAGTCATCTCAACCGCTGCTACCCTCTCCCTTGGGTGACCGGGACTGGTTGGATTCCCCTCCCAACCCCAAGGCCGTAGGCACCATCTCCCGCCGACGCCTGGTTGCTATCCTTGCGTCACTGCTGATCCTCCTTTCGATCGGCGCTTTGGCCTTCTCGTACGCCAGGACAGGCTACCAGAGAGCACGCATCATCAGCCAGGCGTGTCCCTCCACCTCGAACAATTCCCTCCTAGTGGACGAGGAGCAATATGTGCTGGGACCACCTACGGATCGCTTCCGTGACAACCTGCGGAACGATACGAGATATATAACATCCTGGGTCGCTGCTGGATGGACGAACGATGTGTACGTCCCGCTTGGAACGTCGCACAGTAAGGAGCAGGGCTGACTTGCTTTCCAGCATGACATATGTGCGTATGCCGTGTGGAGCCGTTCAATCCGCGCTGACGGCCATCTCTGCAGGCCAATCTAGTCTATCTTGGACTGATCACAGATCGCGTGCCGGTCATTCCGCCGTTTGTACCGTCGCACATCGGTTCCGACGTTCCGCCCATTGCCTTCGGGGAGGTGTTCGACGTACCTCGGTTGCGTCAAGCAGTGGGCCCTATCGTTGAATGGCACGAGCTCAAGAAACCGGAGAGCTCCGAACTCGAAGACATTGGCTGCTGGAATATCTGGCAGGCCGTCCAGTTCGATGCGGACTCTCCACGGTACAGTGTAGTACCATCGTGGCTCAATCTAGGTAAATCCACGCTAACCACGCCTATACGGGCCCTGAATTTCGGTTCGACTGATACTGCTCCTTCCTAGATATATCGTACACACGCGCTCCGGATTGGGTCAAGATGTTCCCGCAGTTTGAGAACGACCCTCATGCCAGTTTTTGGTCCCTGGCTACCCTGAGTTTCCCTGAGACTCGCGCGACGAGCCTCGGAGATACCCAACCTTCGCCCCAACATCACGCCAGTCTGGAACCTGACGAACATATTACGTGCTATGACTATCTCTATTATACCAGCGTTCATCAGGTGGGAATATCGCCGCAGGAAAGAGCGAGAGGTGCTGACCGGCGCGTGTAGCCGTACGAATGGGAAACGGACTACGCTCCGCAGTGGCGCGAAGTGGCAACGCACTTTAGGTGGAACCCGAGGCTTCAGGACATCGCAGACTACTATCTGCGTGTCACATTCGATGTCTTGGATGGTGAAGACTTGCCACCGGTGTGTGCCGTGCTTCTGCATCAATTTCATCTTGTTGAGCGCACTCTCACGTGGTTTAGTACATTGCGATACACGCCCGACATGGAGATTTTGGCGTATATTGCGAAGATAGGCCCAAAGCTGACTGTTTCGCCCCGTTGTCTGCGTTCTCTACAAGAGTTCAAGAGATACAGCTGGAACTGATGGAGCGCAAAGGCATTGAAGTTTCGCGAGTCGTTATGACAAGCGACGAAACGGATCCTGCATGGTGGGATGACGTCGCCGCGTTGGGGTGGTACAGAGTGGATCACGATGCCCTTCGCACGGTCGAAACTTATAGCAAATGGTGAGCTTTTATGTCATTCTTCACTCTCCCGACGTTCTGACGACGGGTGTCCATGATGAGGTATCCTGTTCTCATTGACGCAGTGGTTCAGTCGTCGGGTCAGGGTTTTGTTGGCACCGCAGCATCAACTATGTCGGTGTTGGCATGTCGGCGGGTGGAAGATTGGCATCACGGTTCGACGAGAACAGTCCGATGGGGAACCCTTGACGCGGATTCACATTGACAGTGCTACTTCCGAGATAAACGGACACCACCCGACACGGACCAATCTATGTACGATGTTGTATCACTCATACTGTACCTGATGAGCGACTGCTCACGCCTCAACGAATTGCTCTGTTGACGCGTCAAGTATTGTACTACAAGTGTCCCCAAGATTCCCGACTGCGGTTTCGTTACCTGAGCTTGCTCTGGTATCTCCCTGCCCGTAATTAGTACGCATCGCTAACCGTGGCTGTGTTACGCCCCAATTTGATACTCCGATTCAAAACGGAGCGTATACGGTATACGGCAAACATACATCGTCGATTCTACGCAGACTTTACGAAGTATATACATGGCTTGTTGTACGGCTACTAAACATAACAGTGATTTGCAGAACAATTTAGCGTACGTCACATCCTTCCTAAGTTGGCATTAGATGGCCCAAGACTAGGGATGGCTGGCATCCTAAGGTGCATTAATAGTTATCTAGTTGTCATGTATACACGTAGAGTATACCATTGCGTCTTAAATCACACAAGGGAGGTGCAAGCGAAGGTGGATTGGCGGGAGACCGCCCTTTCCTCTAGTCAGTACTTGTGCCGATTATCGCAAGGCACATCAATTCGAAACTGCTCCTTGCGGACTAAGCAGTTACGCTGACTACATTCATCGGCAGCTCGAAGGAGCGTCAGTCGTCCGACGGACGCTGTCATGAAGATTTACGTGCTGTCTTTGGGGCGGTCAGAACAGCGCTATCATGCAATCATAACGACTTGAGGTTAATCTGATAGGACCATATACCATATATCATCCCCACTCCGCGAGGTTGGTCGCTCGTTTCAAACACATGCGCTGCTTCTGACGAATTTACCTATATATGTCCTACACATCGGTCCCGGACTCGGTTTCTTTGGGTCATGACGACCGTGTATGTTTCTGGAACCTAGCCGCCCTATCCTACCTAGAGGCCCATGAGCGAAGCTCGGGGATTCCTGCTCCGTCGCCTGAGCTTCATTCCGCGGTGCATCTGGACGAACAGCTGATTTGCCATGACTTCCTATACTTCGTGAATGCGGGAACGCAGGCAAGTGATGACGAAGGCATGCGGATGAGTCCGCTCATTTGCCCCAGTTTTCGAGTACGAGCATGACTATAGCCCAGCATGGCACGAAGTTGTCTCGAAGCTTGATGCAAACCGTGGATGTCTACCTCCGGCGAAGCTTCGGGTTTGAAATAACGTGGACATACCCCGGTATGTGTGTCGCGCCTTGCCTTCGTGCGTGCACTGAGTGCACCGTAGTATATCGCAATACACGTCAGGCACGGCGATTTCTCGAGGGCTTGTCATCGATCCAAGCAAGAGTGTGCCAACCCGCTCGCAGAGTGGGCCCCAATGGTCCGCGAGGTGCATCGAGGATTATCTGGTTGAAAGGCGTTAGTTAAGGTTGGTCACGATGATCCTGAACAGTGACGAAGAGGATCCAGAGTGGTGGGAAGAGGTGGTTGCATTGGGATGGTTTACAGTGGAGCACAACGTTGGTGTGCTAGAGGACTATGGTGGATGGTATGCCATTCTCTCTGCCGTTTTGCACGAGATTAGCTGAGGGCCCTGCCTTAGCCACGATACCGTAGTGGATGCTGTTATTCAGTCGGGCGCTGTTGGTTTTGTTTGTTGGAACAACAACATCCACGATGTCAATTCTCGCGGCTCGACGCTCGGCAAACTGGCACGGAGGTGTCTCCAGACACGTCTCTTCTGCTCTTTGAGTGCGGGACGAGGGGACATGGACGTTGCACATGGTCCGGTTAACGCATGTCGTCGACATACGTTCATCCACGTATAATCCATATGTCGGCGCTGCCCAATATAGAGAATAGATTTGGCTGCAACAGTATATAGTGCGGTTTTGTAATCTGCAGGGGACGTTGAAGCCTCGTCTGTCGTATAATGCGCGGGGAAGCGGGATTGACTCAGAACGACTGGTCGATGGGGATGGCAAACCGCATGATAGCCAAATCTCGAAGGGTTGCTGTCGCCGGCATTGGTACGTTGTACACGTTGCCCAATTTAAGAAGATATCCGTTCAAGTACTCGATCTCGAAGGGGCTGAGGCCTTGCAATAAGTCTTTGAGCATGGACGAGAAGTTTTCCCCAGTGCTTTTGGCAACCTCGAGGCAGGCTCTGAGCAGTTCTCTTTCATGAAGATCGCGAGGCAACTTCACACCGAGGGCTTCATTCATGGACTTGCGTTTCCACGTTTTGCTTTCTCCTTGCTTGACCGTGGTATCTGCAGTCTTCTGCGGCTGCGCAACGTCGGCCTCTGCCTGCATCTGCGCTCTGAAGACGGCAGAGGCCTCTTTGCACACTCTATGTGCGAGACGGATCGATTCACGTGTCCCAAAAATGTCCCCGTTACGTGCCCGCAAGATAGCCGTGAGCGGGTTGATGACCGAGTTAACAACGAGTTTGCGTCTGATCTCAACTTGAATGGTCGATATCGGAAGCCATTGCGTATTGAGCGAGTCCATGGCCAGCAGCGCTGCCACCGTGTTTCGCAGCGGCAGGTATTTCGCGTATGCGTGATCAACAGGCGGATTGGCAATATCCGTAAAGCTGAGCTTTCTCTCGTGGACAGGAACGCTTTCATTTCGGAGACCCAGCTCAAAGTCTCGTTCAAGAGGATCGGGTATGATGCCAAACAAGATTCTCCCAATGCCGGCATGAACAACGTGCGGTGGACTGCGGTCTTTGAGCCATGCGCCGTGCGTGTTGCTCGCCAGAATGAAGTGGGGTCGCGTGTTCGGATTCGGGAATAGTTCATGAACGAGCTGTTCGTAGACGCCCATCCCATTGTGCAGGAGTACGATGGCGCTCGCATGCGAAAGCCGAGGGAGGAGAGGTCGTATCGCCGGAAGAACCTGATGAGCCTTTGTGGTGACAAATAGGGATTCGATGGGATGAGTAGTGGCCCCTGCTGGCCGCGAATTTGTATCAAGGGTTTTGAAGACCTCGTACTCAAATCCCCGCTGCGTTTCGATGACCCCTCCGTGCTCGACCTGGATTTCGCCCGAGGATGCGGAACGTCTTGACTGTTCAAGGGTCCTGTGCATAAGGACAATGCTGTGGGCTGGAGGTAGAGCCCTGCGTAGGTGATGGGCCACGAGGGAGCCGATGGGGCCAATTCCAAGGACATGAAAGCGCATATCCTGGTAGGCGTTTCAGTCGTTGGCGAGTAGTGCCAAGCGTACGCTTGAAATGGGATAGCTGGAGGCGATAGAAATTGGTTTTCACTCCTCAGCGAACGCACCCACCACGCATGTGGACGATGTACCCACCAGGGCGATGTCGATGGTGTAATAATAGCTAGTTGAGCTGACAGTAGTGATGGGATGCAAGGGAGTTGACACGGCGGCGCCGAGCTCGCGTGGTCCCAAACTCAACCGTGCCGAAGCTCCTTCTTTCGTGCAGTGCAGCACACCGAGTTGCTCGATGGAACCGCTCACCGGCTGCAGATTGCTGCTATCTACAGCAGGAAACGCAAAGCTCAATCTATACCCTGAAGACAACGGAGCCATCGGCACTCCGTATACAGTTCTCTGAACCCGACTTGGCCTCAGAATCGCTGCTATCAGCAATCGCACCAATCATAAGTATCCGATGATGAACAAAAACGTGTCATGAGAACATCCGCATGCAATCGGGAGTATCTCGGCCCCACTTGGTGGTATAAGCCTTGTTGGGTTCACGTTGCGCTACGCTCTCGAGACGCTGTTGACCCTGCAGATTACCATCATAATCTCCCGGATAGGTTCAAATTCAACATCGAAAGATATGGCCAGCGCCATCCTCAAGAGAACTGGTCAAAAGGTACGTGGCATTGGTGCTCACCATGCGGACAGTGTTAGCAACTCGTCGGTTGTAGATGCCTCTCGTAGGGTAAGCTGCCTAACCCACTTCCTGCACTTCGCTCTGGACATCTTGTCTACGTCGACATAGCTTTGGTTTGTGGAAGGTGAGGATACATGAGCAGCCTGCACGCTTCAACTAAAAAGTGCACAGGTCACCAAGTCGTCCTGCGCAGATGTGAACCAATCTTCGAATGTATAGGAATGTATTTTCTGACAGCCTGTTAGACTGTCTATAATGCCATCAAATCGGGATACCGACTCTTCGATGGCGCAGCTGATTACGGCAACGAGAAAGAAGCAGGTGAAGGCGTTCGTCGTGCGATCAAGGACGGCCTTGTAACGAGGTACGCGGTTTCAATCTGAAGGATTCGCCCGCGCACAACTTCTGATTTTAAACACAGGGAAGAACTATGTGCGTGACTGAAGCATCCATTGTACATTGCTCTCCTGACTGGGTTTCAGTCATCACCTCCAAGGTACCTCAGCGTTTCCCGTGCCACAGTTCTAGTTGAAACCGAGCCGGACCATTATCTAGCTGTGGAACACCAACCACAAGTACGAGAATGTACGCCGCGAACGTTCTGAAGGTGGATGCAATTATATAATCTGTTATTCAACAGGCCAAGAAAATCGCCAAGTATCAGCTTGGTAGACCTTTCTCGTGTGTACACTCATGGCTATTCGTTGACAAGCAGTTCGGTAGGTTTGTGGGGCCTCGACAGGTTCGATCTCTTCCTTGTCCACTTCCCCATCTCTCTGGCGTACGTTGACCCAGAGCATCGGCAAGTACAATCGCATCATCCCTTAGCAAGTTATCAATCATCCTTCTGTCAGGTTCCCCCCGGAATGGTTTGGAGACGACGGCAAGGTCCACCTTGGTGCGCACTGTTTTGCATACTTTTGTGGCGAGCACTGAGGTACAGCTGTGTGCAGAGAACAGTCCCATGCACGAAACTTGGAAGGCCATGGAAGAGCTGGTTGACGAAGGACTTACTACTAACATCGGCCTGAGGCGAGTCAGATGCTTCATGCGTGTTGTTTGACAGTTCTCGAATGTGCAACAGTAACTGTCAAGGATCTCTTATCCTCGACGTCATGCGTTACGCAAGAATCGAACCACAAGTCCTTCAGATTGAGCTCCACCCGTATCTCACGCAGGAGCCGCTCCTGAAGCTCGCAAAGACTCTGGGTATCGCGGTTACAGGGTACAGTTCCTTTGGGCCTCAGAGTTACGTCGAGTTGGGTATGCACAAGGGTGTTCCGAGCCTCCTTGAGCATGATGAGGTCAGCGCTATCGCTAAGCAACTGGGTAAAAGTGAGGAAGGGTTTAGAACAAAGTGCTTGGCATAAGCTGAAGTCTCTCCATAGCACCTGCGCAGGTATTACTTCGTTGGGCAACTCAGCGCGGCGTTGCTGTGATCCCGAAGAGCAACAGTCAACAACGTTTGGAAGCCAATCTGCAGTGCACCTCATTTGATATACCTGATGAACTGTGAGCTCGTTCCTTGCTTCCTTGTGTGACTTTTCCAACCAACATCTTCGATAGCATGTCGCGCATTAGCGATCTCAATATCAACCTCAGAGTGCGTCTTTAGTTTCGGTGCCTCACCACGTTGAAGTGACCACATCCTATAGATGAACGACCCAGCTGACATTGACCCTCGTATGGCTATCTTCGCCTGAATACGAGGAAGACTGCGACGTGCATTATCGAGAGGAGATACGGATCCGTGCATACTGCATACGCCCTCCCATTTCGTATACATATCGTAGTGAACCCCGTGGGATAGTACCGGTGATGGCGATGCGCAGTCTTGAGCGCTGAAGCGCTGATAAGCAGAAGACGACGCAACATTCGCTCCTTCCATCTCTGAGGACTATGGAGTTCAAGCTCTCAAAAGGCGACTTGACCCGACGTATATTATTCTCCGACCAGCCCTCGTGGGATGAGCTAGCCAACAAAATCGAGGTTCTCTACGGCATCCCTGCACGACATGTTGGCGTCTCTTACGTAGACATAGACGGGGACGCGGTCACACTTTCCACCGACCGTGAATTGCACGAGTTCTACCACTCCACTCATCGCTTTGGCGAACCTATCAAGTTCGACGTCCTTCACCTCGATCGTGAAGACAAGCCTCTTCCGGAGACGCCGTTCTTCGGCCCCCAGCGCAATACGTTCGGGACTCAATCAGGAATCCCTCTGATCTTCGAAGTGGATGACGGAAGCTGGCAAAGGATACCCTCGTTCAGAGGAGGTAGCAGATACTACGGGGATGATGACACGGAACCTCACGCTTACGTGGAGACTATTCCTAGCGACGCCGAGTTGTCGCTCAAGGATGAAAGAGACATCACCTCGTCATCGACCGTCTCAGACCTGGGCAATATTATCTCCCCAACTCTCAACAAACGCAAGGGCAAGTCTCGTGCCCGCACGGACTCGATGGTATCGGTGCTTGCGGCAGACAACCCCGATAAACCTCCAGTTCACGTATACGACGTCAGCGACGCCCGCATTCCCAGCGCTCAAACATCTGGTGTAAAGAATCACATGGATCGTTCCCGCTCATCTCACTCTATGCGATCCGAGGCTACCGTCAAGGTCGCCCTCCGTAATACAACTGGAACTGGTACGAAGTCTCCCACCGTCCGGAGCCCTGTATCTCCCGGTCCAAAACCATCCTTGTACAATGGTAAGCACACATCGAGCAGTCCCATACACGTAGCCACTCAGCGACTGTTAGATCTAGCGAGCTTGCTCAACACGGCAACTACGATCGTGCGTAGCGCCTCTAACGGTGAATACTGGACGCCGGAGACCGAAGCCGGCGCTCACGATGTCAACGATCTTGCACAAAACACGGAGCATATAAGAGAGGAGGAGGCGAAGAAACGAGTTGCAGACGCCATTGGAGGGATGTTCAATGTTCTAGGCGTTTCTCCGGATGTGCTGCCCAAAAGTGAGGATCCGACGGCTACCTCTACACCGGCCGCAGGTCGATATGCACTTGCATCAGACATACGCTCGACAGCCTCCGAACGATATCCCCCCGTAGAGGACGTTTTCCGTATCCTAGGCGGTCCTCCCTTAGGTGATGTCTGCGCCTCGTCTGAAGTGGAGACTCCATCACCGTCGCCCATCCGGCCTCGGCAGGCTGCTTCTACCCAAGTTCAGTCGTCACAATCACTACCCTCGGAACCTATTCACCTTCCTCCTCCACCGTCGGCTGCCACTGGCGCTCCGTCAATCCAGATGACGGATGGTCCTAGTACACGTGAACGATTGGAAGCAGCCAAGAGACTTTACCAAGAGGAGAAGGCTAGATATCGACACGAGAGAGAACAGCGTCGGAAGGAAAGAGAGCGGAAGCTTCAAGAAAGGTTTGTTTTTGTGGAAAATCCGATCATTGCGCTCTCTGACACCGTTGACTAAGGTCCCCTCCGATAAACAAAGACGCGGGACCAACGTTACCCGTGGAGAATGACAAGCAGCCCACACCACGACACAATACTCAAGCTCCCCGTCTCATCCCTCAGTGGCAGATTGTCAGCAATGCGCGGGGCCCATACCCACAGCTTGAGATTTTTGGCGTTGGTGGCTCACGCAAAGAGCCTGGTACGGCTTTTGCGGGGCCCAGCCGTCGACACGTGTCCGACCCATCTGGACCTTCGGAGTCAACCATAACCAAATCAACCCGGCGCATCAGTAGGAAACTGGCGGATGTAAGCACAATATCTTCGATTATTTTGGTAAAATAAATGATGTGCTACCCAGATGGGGTTTACGGACGACAAGTATCCTCGGATCAAGTCCTTGATGGGCTCGCACGTTCGTCCGGATAGTATGCTCTCGAGGACTGAGGAGGACGAGATCGTTACCAAGATGCTTGAAGAAATCCTCTCCTTTTCGCCGAAGGGTACCAACGGCACGCCGACGGCGTCAAGACCGGCATCGACAATCCCTACTGGATGGAAATGAGCCAGTTTGCCCCCGACTATGTACCACTTTTTATTGATGCTTATGCTTCGTGATTATCCGTGCCTTGTACTCTTGTAAACTCATCGTGGGCGTGGGCTCTTCCCTACGTATTGTTCAGAATGTATATCAGCGATGTACCCAGCTTTTGAGATACTTTGATCAATCGGCCCTTCGTGCTCCGGCTGTGCGAGGTACATACGTATGTGTTTGTATAAACGTGGCCACAGTGCCCACGGTCGCTCACGGATAGTTACTTTTGGCTGCTACATCGCGAATTGCAACGCAACCAAGATCTTCAAAGCTGAACGTTCCAGCCGTCATCATGTCAAACAGCCTCACCGATCGTCAAAAGACTGACTTGTTCGTGTGCTGTTGATCATGAGCATCCGACTTTCAACGATACTACTCCGGTCGTTAGACACAAAGCTATATTGGACTATTTCCACTCTTCTGGATACCACAAGACTCTTGAGCAGTTTAAAGAAGAAGCCTCTTATGTATGTACTGCAGCCCGTAGCTGTTCATCTTCTCATACATATATTGATCACAGGCAGAATATCACTTCGACCCGAGTACGTCCACTGACCTTCTCGTCAAGAAATGGGTTAGCGTCATACGGCTACAGAAGAAGGTGATGGGAATCCCGATTTACCATTTGTTCCGTCAGATGACATGTTCCATGGACTTTCGTTAGATTGTGGATTTAGAAAGCCGACTTGCTCAAGCGTTGCAGGACAACGTCAGCCTTACGACCAACCCCGCGACCTTGAATCAACGCAGCAACCCCGATTGGCTCCCGGCAGTGACCCCACCTAAACTTGTCCTCACCGGCCATAGGGCTAACGTCAACGCCGTTGCGTTTCATCCCCGGTATTCGGTGCTCGTTTCTGCTAGCGATGATAGCACCATGAAGGTTTGGGATCACGAGAGCGGGGAGCTTGAACGTACCATTGGAGGCCATACGAGACGCGTTAGCGACTGCGAATACGATTCGAAGGGGAAATACCTTGGTGCGTTACCATCAGTGTGGCGCTTGAGCGATCGCGGCTCGCCACATACCTTCATGGCTGATCATGTCCTATCGCAGTGTCCGCATCGCATGATCTCTTCATCAAGTTATGGGACGTAGACAACGAGTACAAGAATACCGCTACCTTTAGAGGGCACGAGCACTCCATTTCCTCTGCTCGATTTCTTCCCGGCGATGAACGCATCGTCAGCGCCAGCCGCGATCAGACCGTGCGTGTATGGGAGATCGCTACCACGTATGCTTGGGTCTGCTGTCTTCATCTACAATGATGGATTGACATGGCTGTCTAGTCATTGCATCAAGGTTATCAAGTCCCATGACGATTGGGTGAGAGCCGCTGTGCCCAGCTCGGATGGACGATTCGTCATAACGAGCTGTATGGACCATGTGGGCCAGTCATCTTAGCTGCCAGCGGCCACGTACTTACGGACAAAGCCTAGACTTCCCGGGTGTTGGAGCTCGCAACTGGTGCTACTAAAGCGGAACTTAGAGCCCATGATAATGTCGTTGAGAACGCTATATTCGTCCCTCGTAACGCAATACCGGCTCTCTACGAACTTGTCGGTATGAAGGTTGGTGGGTCAAAGGTCTTCTCGTTCATACTCAATCGTGGTCTGTGGGGCTGACTGCTACAGACAGGCCCTGATTCCTCGATGACTCCGGATGAACTATCGGTGGCTTTCGCAGTGACAGCATCGCGTGATCAAAAAATAAAGGTATGGGACGCCCGGTCAGGCCAATGCCTTTACACGTTGGTAGGTCGTCAACTTTGTTCTGCTCTACTGCTCTGTACTCAGCGCGCATCGGTGCCATAGGTTGGACATGATGGATGGGTGCATGGCCTTACATTCCATCCCAATGGTCAATACTTGCTGTCTGCTGCAGATGACTCCTCAATCCGAATATGGGAAATCAAGACGGGGCGCTGCATACGGAAAATAGACACTGGGGAACGGTTCATGTCTTCACTGGCGTGGGCTCGACAGATCACAGGAGCAGATGCATCCACTCAACAGACAGATGCACAAGGCCCGAGGCGAGTCAATACAATTGCTTCGGGATGCTGGGATTACGTGGGCCACCCTTTCTCTTCATCACATATACCCGACACTTATCATCCATTGCTTGTGCAGAGCGTCAAGATTTGGAAACCTTGATTGGCATTTGTTGAGTTGGTACGATGCCAACGCCTTCCACTACTGGATCTCTCTTGATGCACCAACCATTATACGGACGGATGGTAGAATTGCGCCATTTATCGCTTTCAACACTCGCTATGTTTCAGTGTCCTGTTCGTCGAAATCGAGCATGTTATCTCTCCTTTATCATGCTGTGCGCGTATAGTAGGATTTGCCTACGATTTCTTGTCAGTTCGCCTCGGTGACGGATTGGCACCTTTTGTTCAGTAATCAGCAAAGAACGCGGACAATGGGCCATGCGTCTGCGCGTATTGCCACAACCATCGGTTGCGCCACCGGTACCCTTGGTATCCAGCGTCTCTCCGGCGTGCATCCTACATTGTACACCAAGGATTCTACATACGCTCTGGGGGACCATCCGCAGTGGAACTTCATACCGCTTCGTATATCGGTATTTCTGCATATCCCTGCAGACGACTACTGTGGAATCATCGATCATCATTCATCGCCGCGCAGGTGCTACAATGGTAGCGATCCCATTAAGATCCGCCCCTTTGTGCCCCGGTGTAGTCCCAATGTTGCTCTGCGTCGAAAGAGAACAAAGAACACTGCATCCTATATATAGGCAGCGTAGGTGAGTTCGGAAATACTGACAGAGCATATCCCAACGATTCTCGTTCGTAATTCCTCCGCCAAACGACGTCTAGGATCCCACAAGTTGGAACACGACAAATCCGTCACAATTTGTGGTGGTCCTATTTGTGCTTGTGGGTCCATCGCTGTTTAACGTTTTTTTTTTTTTTTTTTTTTTTTGGTGGAGCGCTCTGACGCAAAAGCGTTAGGTGGTCAGTACTGGTAATAGGTCAGGCCTTTCCCAGTAAGCCGCGCTGAGGTTTCCGGGGAATTGCAACCCTGGAGGAGTGTACCGCGAGGAAATGCGTTACGCACATAGTGTGGGACTCGGACTTAGCATGTGGTATATCATAGCATAGCATAGAGTAGAGTAGACATCGGGTTTATTTCCTTACCTTGAGTGTATATACAGACTAACTTACCTTTACCCGATGTGGTAATGATTTAATCTGGGTCCATACCCACTAAAACCCCGCTCCATCCTACCCAGTCTTCGGGTAGGAGGTTTTCGTTTTGCAGTGTGCCGGACCACGTCTCTAGGACCAGGTCTCTGTTTACTGCTTTGGCGCCAAAACTTGCTCGGTCCGCCAAGCGGCAATCTAGCTTTAGCCTCGCGTTAATCGCCGCCTTCCATCGGTTCCTTACTTCCCGGCGTGTTTTTGGCTGGTTACCGTCGCGGATTACTCTCTGGCACCGCATTTTCCATATCAAGTGCGCAGATTCTGCGATTAGGATCCGGTATAGTCGTGTTTGTCCCCGTTTGATTTTCCCTTTACTGTTCCTGATCTCTGTGCACTGGCTTCCGAGTATGGCACCCACCAGGTGTGACGGTAAATTTATCTCTGTGTTCTTTTTCTTCCACAGGTTGCAGGCGAGTGACCATATTTCTTCTTGTCCCGATGCTCGGCACTCCGTTAGTATGTGTTCCATTGATTCTATTTTGTCGCAGTGTGCACACACGCTCCTCTCTCTCAAGTCCGCGGGGCAACTTGGGCGAAGCCATTTGTCACCTAGCATGTATGCGTCATGCATTGCCATCCATAGGAAGTACCGCGTTTCTCTGGCTATGTCTTTGTTCTGAATTGATTTCCATATCCTGGCGGGGGAGGGCAGTTTATTAAAGATGGATTTACTGGCGTCTTGCACTAGTTCTATGTTCCTCGCGGCTCTCTCACGTACTCGGTATTCTTTCATTTTGGTTTCTCGGATCGCTTTATATGCTAGTTTTTGGGTCATTTTGGACAGTTTTGCCCCGGTTACTTTCAGAGTGGGGGGGATCTCTAGCGGCACATCGTCGCACGTCGTTTTCTTAACGGCCTCCGCAGCTTTCCGATCGGCTCCTTCATTCCTTTCATGTCCATTATGACCTTTGATCCATTTCATGCTTGTGTTCTTGGGGCGCATTCGTAGCGCAGCCACTGTCGCCTTTGCGATTTCGCGGTTGGCAACTGCTATGTAGCCTGAGTCTTCTCTCTTCTTCAGGTATGTTATTGTTTCTCCGATGACATATTTAGAGTCAGTCTCAATGTCTAGTGCTCGTTCGTGTGGTACTTTCTCGGCACAGATTTTGATCGCGACCATCTCTCCTGTCTGGTTTGATTGGTCCATCTTTTCCGGCAGTCTCACGGCAAAGTTCATTTCGTCACCCTCGGTCACGAAACCCCCAGCGCCGGCTATCGCATCCGCATCTCCATTGTTCACACAGGACCCGTCTGTTGCTATCACTATTCCATCACTCTGTGGGATCTCGTTGTTCCTCGCTATGTCCGGGAGTTCGTTTGTGGTGGTCCCCTCAGTGAAGATCCGGAATATGTCCCCCAGTTCACCTCTCGTTGTCAGCCTGTTGTCGAAGTTCAGGCTTCCATCTGGGTTCTCATCGATAACGTCTCTTGGCTCACGGTCCTCTGGTTTTGGCCCTCTCGGGTTCCACTTGGGGGGGAGTGTATCTAGGAGCTCATCTGCCTTGGTATAGCACTTGTGTGGGTTGGAGCATCCCATGCTCCGCATATTCTTACAGTTGCAGCATTTGCAGTTTCTTCGCGGTTTATGCGACCCTTCATGTCGTCTGTCTGCCATTAATTCTGCATCGCCCACCGTTATGACGCGGTGCGTCGTCTTCAAGCATTTGGCCGGCAGTGATCGTTCGAGTCTGCGTATTCTTGGGTCGGCCTCCCTGTGCCGCCAGATTGGCATTTTACGAATGATGTCTCTCGAGAAGGCTATCCCTTCGGGGCGGACACCAAATTCGTTTGCTGTTTTCCAGAGGTCACGGAGCTCTACCGCGATGTGTGTCGCATTACCCTTGCTCGTCCTCCATGTTTGCAGGAAGATATTGACTTTTATGCTGTTCTCTAGGTTTCGTTCCGTCTTTGGCGTTCTCGCAGCGTATAGGGCATCTGCGAAGGTTGCCCACAATGGACGCTGTGGTCCGAAGTTTAGGTATTCTCGTAAGTTCATGATTTTAATCGCCTTGTTTCTTGCTCGTATATCGAGTACATTTTGGCCTCCCATTTCTATAGGTGCTTGAAGCGTCTCTTCTGCCACTGCTGCGGCCGACTTATCCGCACGCATGAAGCTCGAAATTCGTCGTGCAATCTTCGCCTCAACGTGAGAGGGCATGCCTTGGACTGTTGTCAGGTACTGCGTCATGCTCCCCGCCGTTAGCATGACTATAAGTTTCCTTCCCAGGATCGTTGGGTGTGTCCGTTCCCATTGCTCTAATTTTTTATCAATTTTGTTGAGCACTATCGTCCACGGGCCTTCCACTTCAAGATTATTACCGTACCAGGCCCCTAGGAGGCGGATGCTTTCACCCTCTGCTACCATGTGGATGTCGTCGTTGATCGGCACAACGCACCCCTCTGTCTTCCTTTCTCGAATGACCGTTTCCCGGTATTCTGGGGTTCCGATAGGGAGTATCTCCGTTTTTCCTATGTTAAATTTTGCTTTTGACGCTATACACCATTTTTTCAGTATTTTTTGCAGGTCCTCAAAATCGTCGAATTCGGACAGGAACACCGTGGTGTCGTCTGCAAATAGCCGTGCGATGAGCTTATCTTCTGTGCCTGGTATTCTGAAACCTCTTAGGTTTGATGATCGTAACATTTCCGCAAGCGGCTCAATCGCGAGGTCGAAAAGTAGGCATGAGAGAGGATCGCCCTGCCGCACTCCGCGGATAACTTTGTATGGTGAGCTCAGAGTTCCGTTGATCATCACTCTTGTCTCTGCATATGCGTATAGGTTTTTTATTGTTCTTATGAAGAAATCAGGGATTTTGAAAGCTTCGAGGGTCCTCCAGAGATAGTCGTGTGCGATCTTATCATATGCTTTCTCCTGGTCCAGCGCTACTATGAGGCCGTTCTCTTCCATAGCTTCCGCGTATTCCATCACCATCCTTGTGAGTTTAGTTTGGTCCGTTATTTGTCGCCCCGGTACAAACCCAGCTTGGTCTGGATGTACTAGGTCGGTTATCACCTCCGCCAGCTTCAGGGTTAGTGATTTCGTGAGTAGTTTGTAGTCCGTGTTGAGGAGGGATATCGGCCTATAGTTACTAATCTCGTTTCTATCGTTCTTCTTGTATAGTGGGCACATCCAAGCTTCGGTGAACTTTGTTCTTGGGTCAATGCCGTGCAGTTGGATGTCGTTGAAGGCCGCGGTCATCACTTTAATAACATTGAAGGGCTCTCGATCCTCGTGTCGTGAGTCCTCTACAAAGCGGGCGTGCAGTGTTTTCCACAGTTCATACGTTGCTCCGTCTAGACCGGCGGCGCTCCCGTTCTTGGAGTGCTTTAGTGCGTCTTGTACTTCTCTTTCTGTGATTAGTCCGTTCAGGATCGCCTTTCCTCTGTGGTTCGGTTCTGACTTAATGGTTTCTAGGACTTCTTGCATTGTCTTTTCTCGGGTTTCGGGATCTGTAATGTCTTCTTCCCGTTGGAGGGCTTCGTGGTAGTTCCTGGCGAGTTCGGCCATTTTCCCCGTCTCTTTCTCGTACTCAGCATTGCCTCCTGGTTGGGTTCCCGGCTGCGGCGGGATTCGGAGGGCGTATATCATGTCACGCGGTTTCTTTTCCTTGCTCGTTTGTATCCAATGGCGACTGATGGTTTCTCCCTCTAGTCTGCTGCGTACTGCGACCGCTTCCCTCGCCTTGCCGTGTCTCTTCCTTTCAAGCTCCTCCAATTTTTGTGTGAGGATGCCGGCTTCCCTCACACGTTCGTCTTCGTCCATTTCCCGGTTTAGGACTTCGGCGATGTCGTTCTCTAGGGCTTTCTGCATCTTGATTATTTTGGGGACCGTCTCACGTTCTCGCTGCCTGGCTGCCTTTAGAATCGCCCGTTTCATTTCTGCAAATATTACTTGCGGGTTTTCTTGCCACGTTCGTCGTGAGTTCGTCACGTTTTCTAGGCGTTCCATTGCTTTCCGGCCCTCTTCATGTGCTGTCTTCCGGAATTTGCGGTCCTTGAGGACGTGTTGTGGTATAGACCATCGTCCTCTTCCAACCGCGGGGCTTGCCTCATCAGTTAGCTGTACTGACACCATTTTATGGTCGAGGTTGGGGATGCCCACTGTCGATATCTTCCATTCTCTCGCCGTCTCAAAAAACTCTGGGGTCACATATATTCTGTCTATTCTCGACTGGGACATGGTCGATTTTTGGTAGTATGTGAACTCTTTTCGATCGACATATGTATTTCTCCATCCGTCTATTAGTCGTAGGCGGCTGACCGTCTCATCTAGTTTCTCAACGGCCTTGTCGAAATCTGGGTGAGATGGTAATCTGTCGATGTCACTTTCCACTAGGTTATAGTCTCCTCCCATAACGTTCGGCCTCGTTTCACGTCGGTTCATCGCATAGTGTCCGTCCAACTCTATCCAGAAGGCGAGGTTCTCTTGCGGATCATTAGGGGCGTACACATTCAGTACCGTGAGTTTTTTGTTGTTTAGCATGTTGAGCTCTATACTCAATGCTCTTCCTGGAAGGACCGTCTTTGCTGTGATTTTGTCCCAGTTCCGGATTAGTTGTTTATTGACTACTATTGCTACCCCAGCCTTCCCGGTCGGGTTATCTGGGTCTGGGGACACGAAAACGCGGAGTCTGTTCGTGAACAGGGTCTCTATTTCGTCCCGGCGCTGGTCGTCCATATGCGCCTCCTGTACCAGGAGGATCGCGATTCTCCGTTCCCTCATCAGCTGATTTATGTGGAACCATTTGTTATGACTGACTTGACTACTCGCTTGTCCGTATCCACGGATATTCAACGACGCAATGTGGATCCCTGCTTTCATTGCCTTGGGGGGCTTCCGTCTTGGTCTGCCTATCGCTCTGCCGTCGTTTGGGTTCTCCCCTAGGCGTCTGCGTAACTCGTTCGCAACGGCCTCTGTGTGCACCGATCTCGTGTGGGGCATTTGCTCGGCGATTCGCCGTCCTCTGCGTTGCAGTGGTGGTCCTCCAGCGGTCTGCTGGGGCCCGGACACGGTCTGTGTCTCTGGTCGGCCTTGCTCCGAGGTCGCCATGCTCTCTCTGTCTGAGGGCCCTTCGGTCAACTGTGGTGGGTCATTACGCCGAGCGTCTGTCACGGTCGTGTGGATCTCTCTCGCTACGGCCTCGCCACCATCTGGTTGTACCTGTCCGCCTCCGATACCACGCGCTTCGTCCTCGACGGTTCGACTGGCGGCTGCGTCGAGTCCGCCTCTGAGAGCGGATCCGCCGTTGCCTAGAAGACCGTCAGTGTTTGGAGGGTGGTGAGTGCTTACTGTGTTCTTTCCGTTCGTGTTCGTTGCTTGCTTTGGTTCCGTCTCTCGGCTAGCTGGACCTAGAAACGGTTAGTGGTCATCGTTCGGGTGGTACGCCCGTTGGGGCGGTCGCGTCTCCCGCACGAATTCGCCGTTTAGCGTCGGCTGGGCTCCACTTACCTTTTAGCCCATACGCGTGAGTTTATACGCTCGGACGGCTTTCCTGTCGCCTCGCGGCTCAGTATATTTGGGCCGTATAGCGTCTCCGTTGTCTCATTCTCCCCAAAGAAGACTAACTTTCACCGGGTTCTATCGTGTATTGTATGTTTTTGATTACGGACGTGGGGTTTACTTCAATGGTGTTCTATGTTAGTCGGCCGGATATCTACCATCTGCTGCCGTACTGGCCATGGGTTACGGTCTCCCAACCTCCTCGTCCGCCGTGAGTCCTGGCTCCGCCTCGGCCCCTATTATTCCTTCCGCGGCCTCTTCCTCTACCGCGGTGGTCATTCAGGTTGCCTTTCGTTTTCGACGCTTTCGCCTCTGTGGGGCCGTACCATCCCGGTGTCTTCGGGAACGGGCAGTCCCATGCCGGGTGAGTGTACGATTTGCAGAGGGCGCATTCGATTTCCTTTTTCTCGATGAGGAGCTTCTTCAGTCCCCCTTTAGTATAGTATCCCGGTCTGCGGATGAGCGCGAGCCAGCGGCGGTGGTCGTCGTAGTTGGGTGAGATCGGACGCCCCATCAGTTGCATGACCGGGTCGAGTCTGCCTTGTTGGTTGCGTAGGGGAATGTACGAGAGGGTAAAGGAGCTCGTCGCGTAGGCGACACGGTCGTTCACGGTGCCTGGAATGCCGGCGGCGCGGAGGGTCTGGTCCACGAAGTTGCGGAATGGCTTGTCTTTCCAAAGGGTCGTCTTGATAGTGGTGAGTATTTCGTTCTCAACCTCCGTTCGGGCTTCTTCGTCCTCAGCGGCCCTAACCGCATCGCCCGAGATGTGCATAATCGTCCATTCGTAGAAAGTCGGGTCGAAGGACAATACATGGAAGCATATGTCTTCATTGACGGCGAAGGTCTGTTGGAAAAGCAGATAGGCGCGTTCTTTGTTGTTGAATCCGGTAAGGAGGATAGTCCACGGCTTGTCGAAGGCGCGTTTGGAGTTTCTCTTGGCTAGGGGACGGTGTGTGTCGAGGCGCCTCTTGGCGCTCCCCAAAGTCTCTTGTGGCGGTCCCTCGTCGATGCGCAGGTCTGCGATGAAGTCGCGGATGTCTGTGTGAAGCGTTGGGCATGCCGCGAAGAGGTCCGGTCCGGCATTGAAGGGGACAATCGCAAGGAATTCGCCCGGGTTGTTTAGAACTGGCGTGGTCTGGGCCGTCTCCATGCCGTCTAGGAGATCCACCATACTCAGGCCTATCCGGGGAAAGGTCGCGTCGAGGAATTCGACCGACTGGTCGGTTGGCTTGGCCAGTGGGGCTTCCCCCCGCCTCGAAGATTGGGTGTGGGGATTATCTTTCGTGAAGGCGGGTGGCGCAGTTGGGCTGGGCCAGATGGCTCTCTGCGGAAGAGGGATGCGCGGGCGCGACTCGATCTCGTCGATGACTTCATCACGTACGTCGCCACTCAGGTGTCCGTTGGAGCCGGGGATGGCGTCGTCCTTGGGGTGGTCGTCGTCTGGGCGCACGCGCTTTGGGGAGCGTCCGGTCTCGGGTGCGATAATCTCCAGTGTCTGCATCATGCCTAGGTGACTCTGCATTTCAAAGGGTCAGGATGCGGATGCATGGGGTGGTGTGTCACTCGCCATCACTGAGGTGTTAATTGGGGTGTCTTTCGTGGGTGGGCAGGCCTCGGTGCGCGGACTCGGGGATTGCAGGGAGGGGGGAGCTTGTTGGGGAGTCAAGGTGAGGAGTAAGCTTTTAAGTGTTCGGTGAGATCACTTTCTTTGTCCTTTGATAAGATGGCTCGGGGTGGCCTTCTGCCTCGAGGCCTCTTTGTGTCTTTGTCTTTGCGTCTTTGTGCCTTTGCTCTTCCAGTAGTGGCTGTGGCGCGTTGTCTCACTCAGGTTTCTGTGTGGCTATCTGGCGGCACCCTGGGTTGTCGCGGGGGACGGGGGGGGGGATCGCCCCTCGATGCGTCAGTTCGATTCGGTCACCGTGGTTGGTCGTCAGTCCCTTCTTGGTGACCCGTGCGGCGGTCTTTCAGATGGTGGAGGGGACACAAATCGGCGTGGATGCCCGGTAGCATTCCGGCTCCGTCGTGGAGGTGGGAGGGGTAAGTACTTGTCCTGTTCCTTGCGTCGTCTGAGCTGGTCGCGGTGATTAGCCCAAAAGTCATTGGCTCCCTCTAGGATGTCAGGGGGTGTCATAGGGTAACATAGCGTATCT